CTAAGTGTAAAAAATTTAAAACTACAAGTAACTACAACTTACAAGTTAATTGTTGAGTAAAAATATAAAGTGAAAAATTGTTATCGAAATAATATAAAAATCAATTTTTTTAAGTTAAAAGCCATGTGTTTAACGTATTCACTCACTGATATTTCCTAATTTTTATATTTTGTAAATGTTTTTTTTTAAGAGGTCTCTTTCTTTATTTAGTTTTTGTATTTTGAAATTTAAATGGTGCATCTAGGCTATTGATTTGAATCTACGTTTCTGTTTGTAGTTCTTTTAATTTTACAATGATGGCATATATATTGGGGGTGAGTGAAATTGAAATTTGAATTAAAATGCATATGAAATGATTCACATGTATTAGTTGTTAAACACGTATCAACTGATGCACAGGCCCACATATCAGGTGGAAGCATAGCATCTTCTCATATGTAGGTATTGACTTACATATTAAATAACAGTATTAAACAGTATTAAATAGAGTATTAAATAATCTGCAAATACATATTATCGGGCCGAGATTACAACCAACCTTTTTTATTACCTGAAATTTCCGGGCCAAGTTTACAATTTACCTACTTTATTACCTAATATTTTGGGGGCCGAATTTACAACAAAAAAGGTAATCGCAGGTCCAGTTTACATTTTCCCGTATAATCATTGCACGTCAGTGGCGGCTCGTGAGGTTCATGTAAGATGATGAACAAATAATTCGTAAGAAACCTGCTCGTATGTAGACGGGTAAGAAATATTCGTTTTGTTATTGGTACAGGTACATATAACGTACTTATCAACAATTAATTTTTTAAGCTTTCTAAGCTTTTCGTCGCGGTAAATAAAAATAAATTGGAAAAAAAATTATTATGTATGAAACATAAATACAAAATCTTGTTTTGAAAAAAATGTGGAACGATAAAAATAAGTCCGATTCACATATTGATTGTGCTCCAAACGACAATGTATTACTTAACCGACGTGTCTATGCGTGTAGCTAATTTTTGTACAGTCATCCGGAGCACAACGAATGTGTGCTCTGCTAATTATTTAATCGCTGAAGACATTTCTCAACACGAATTTTTTTTTTTTTTCAAATAATTTTGTTGATTACAGACCATGTGCATAATAACAAATTTTAATTCATTATAGAAGTCTAATAATTTTTGGCTGGTTCACGTGCTCCTGTGCATCATAGCATGAACCGCCACTGTTGCACGTGCCGCGTTTTTTTAATAACGCTTGTCCGAAAGAACATAACGCGTACAGCACAATCGATACAAAATCTTTATTATAATATTATTTTATTTTATAAATTGTCAGTTTCGTTGTTTTTTAAGGTTTTTTTTTTTAATTAATTGAGGTACTTAGCTTTTGGTTTTTTGTTTTTAGTTATTTAATACATCATCTTGTATTAAATAAATATATAAGTGTCATGTTGAGTAATTTTTGTTTTTTAAAAGAAGCTTTTCCAATTGGTAATTGCAGACATAGATCTGGCACTGATGTTATAAATAAAAATGCATTGTTTGTCGTACTCACGGTGCGCGCGTGTTTGTACGCGCATATTATTATTATCAAACAGCTGGAACCACCGGTTGGCGGCGGGAACGGAACGCTGCATCGGAAGACGGTAAAGCGTTGTATGTACGGAGAGGTCCCCGCGACATCGGGAACCGCGACGGATGCTCCTCCGCTACCGCGTTTCTCTCTAAAAATAATCTGCACGCGTCCGCCACGTACACGAGTCTCTTCTTGACGTTAGCGTCTCTCTCACCATCCCCTTACCTCTAATCCGAACCGCCGCCGTCATCCTTAAAAATATATATGCTAAGTTATGCGGCCGTCTCCAGAGCACACGTTATACATTAGATATCGAGGATTTTTTTCCGGCATATTTTGACGTACTCAGTGCTCGGACTTGGCAAAATTAAAGAAGGGGGACTCTATTTACTTTAAAAAAAGAACGTCTCCAAAGCTGGCTGAGCATTATGATTATAGCGTAATAATTGTAGGGGGACGCTAAAATTTCTGAAAATTAGTTGGGGTACCCCCCCCCCCCCCCCCCGCGTCACCCCACAAGTCGAGCACTGGACGTACTTACGCGACTCGCGTTTGACGTTATGGGTGTTCCCTTCAATAATATTGTCGATCGATTTCCGACGTTTCTGCCGGTTATAACTACTTTTCCGGCCAACTCTCTAATAGCCGTTGGACGCATTTTTCGACCGTTAGCGTTACGCTCCAACAAAACGGTATGAATGCAACAACACAGCGTCACCACACGCGTAGAGTTAATCGTGGACGGAACGTGCGACGTGGCCCCACACTGCGATAATCGAATCACGAAGTTGTAACGGCTGCTGCTGCTGTTACAACATGATTGTATTACAATTATTTTATCGGACTTGTGAACAGTTTCCGAGATAATATCCTGCCGTCGTCCGCGCTCGTGGTTGTTAGCCGTATAACAGGCGCCGCCGCGGTACACCACCTGTTGTCCGTTGATGGACAATAATCCACGTTTTACCGAAATTCTCTGTGTTATCATCTACTTTACTGTTGGTATACGGTAGTGGGGCCGGCCATTGTCTAAAGTCGTACGACAAAAACGAAACGTATCGTCCCAAAACATGGCCACGTAAAAAAATCTACTAAGAAACTGTCATACATAAACGATCGTAAAACTCCAAGAGACCTGTATATGCATTTTTATTCGTGCTACATACGTGGCATTATAAATATTTAAATTATAAATGCCATTTATTCGGTAATTGGTGATTTAACTTTGTAATTTCAAAACACTTCGATTCGTTTGATGCTGCGACGGATGCATGTTCGTATATCTCGAAGTTATTCTTAACATCGTGAGTGGGAGGGGGGATTGAGATATTATTAGCTGACCAATACTTTTTCTTGACGGCAAATTGTCGAAAACATTGGTGCAACAATCGGAGTCAACCGCGAAGTTTTAAGTACGCGTGTACGATTACTGTTGCGGTTTTAAAATTGTTTTACGATCAACGTTGGTCCTCTACGATGAACTGATAAGTTTCACTTAGTGGAAGGGCCTAACTTATGAGGCTTTGCGCTTGCATAAGTTGCTCATAGCCCTACGGATTTTATTTTTAGATAACACCATCGTGGTTGAGGAGGGGGGCAAGTGCCGTTAGATTTTTAACCTTTTAATAATATGGCATACAGCAGTAGTCGGAAGGGTCCTGTACAACCGGCACTAGGTTGTTGCATCGTCCATTGCACATCTCGTCAGATACAATATAATTACTTGTGCGCGCACAAACCACTGTAACGAACGATTACCGCGCCACCGCGTGTGCGTGCGTTCGACGACGGTTGTACATTTTTTTTTTTTTTTTTACTATTATTATTATTCCAAACATACGCGTACACAGAAGTGTTACCGCTCGTGCACGCCACGATTGTTTTAAAAATAAATCGCGTACGGATTTGGGTACGTGTGCGCGCGCGCGTGCGGGAGGGAGGAAAATGTCACCTGCGGCGGCGGCTGCTGCTGCGACGACGTACGTTGCCCCGTCCCCCCGCGTCCCTTCGACGTCCCTAGCCGCGTTCCGCCGCGAAACCATGTGCCCGTCGCCGATTGCGCGCGTCCACGCGCCACGGGTCTATAACGTGCGTGTGCGGCACACGTGCGAGCGCGTGCGTGCGCGTGTAAATGTGCGTATAAATACGTACAAGCACACCGCGTCGACTACGCGACGGGATCGGTCGACGGTCCAGGAGGAAGTCGGTATTCGCGGCGGCTCGCTGCATATAACCCCGACGCCGCGCCGAGCGTACGATTGATACGCGGTGCCGTGCACTTCGTCCCGTTTAAGGTCAACGATTTGGAAACCGATCCCCGTTATTTTTACATTATTTTTATTCTAGTCCATGTGGTGTAATAAAATACACGGCACATTCCGCGTACGGCGTACGGACCGGGTGTAAGCGCATCGCGTCTTATCGCCAAACACACGCACGTGCTCGGATTTCGTCCGAAGACGTTCGTCAATATTTTCGTAAAACGGGAGGTATTTGTCCGTTTCGTGTAAAAACAAATCCGTCCGTTCCGCTAGAATTCCAGCGGTCCTGTTCCGGGGCGGGTATCCCGGTTGCAAAAGTCTTTTTTACCCTTCCTCTCCGACCACTAATCACTACTACTGCCACTGCTCAAATGTCTAGTTTCTTCTCGTATTACATAAATAGGTGCTCGTCGTAAACATTCGTTGCTTCCCAAACGCATAGTCCTCTGGTCTGCATTTGTGGGTTATAGTGACAACGCATCGCGGTGCGCTACTGTCCGGTACGTTTCAACGCGGGTCCTCGTTTTTAACCGCTCAAACGGCCAATGTCGTCTGATCATTGCTCTGATCATGTCAACTAATACTATCAGAAGGCAATAGCAGTGGTCGATAAGTATTAAACCGTGTCGTTGACCGCAGTCACTAATCCATATTTTATAATCGTATACACTTAAGATTGTTGAAGTTCAATATAACGTTTTGTTATTTATTGTGACCACAAATTCGTGAGAGAACATTTAAAAAACGCTCATCGGCGAAACGTGCACTCGACGACGACGGGTACGCTGACCATATTATGCGTAACGTTTATCGGATTAATAAATAATACATCCACTTGTGAATTAAATTTGTCGGTAATATCTTGTATCGCTATCGATATGATTCGGTTATTGATCGCTTATCGCGCGATACATATGTTACAAGTCTATAACGACGTAACCGATTCCGTTGATAAGTGGTCGATTCGAAGAACTCTTAATATGGACTCGACGAACACAAAGGGTGTCGGGTGCGATAATTTGCCGCCTCATCGCACGGTTGTTTTCTAAACGTGTACTATTTCCGACGCACCGACCGATCTATCTATAACCTAAAATCTCAAAACGAAACCAATGCGATAACGTTTTCAAAAACCGATTTCAATCCCATATCTCGTATTCGACCGCAGTTGGTCGGCGTTAGCGTAAACCACAACGGTAGTCCTTTTATCAGTCTCGTTACAGAACGTTTCGGTATTTGATATTATTGTTTTACGTCGCCGTCCGTTTACGAACTCGCTCAGAAATCATGCACTGCACCGTGGCCGAGAATTAACTACGGTAAACCTGGTAAAACCGATTGTTTTACACACCTTTCAAACGGTGTCCGATGTCGAGTTCCGTTTTTCACGAAATCGAGAAACGATAAGCTTTCCAAATACATCGTTATACTGCGCGTTAATTATAAATCTGCCGCGCAGGCTCGGTAAAAAATGTTTCGTGCCGACACTGCGATGCGTGGCGTATTTACGGGGCCCAACAGAAAGATCCGAAAGGGTTTTCAAAAGCTTCGCAACTCGGCCTGACGCGCATTCCCTTATTCGTGTTAATGTAACATACCTCAGTACGCGTTCGATCCCTGTATCAATCGGTAAGTACTACTTACTAAGTAGCCATTGCGCGCTATCTCTACCGCCCGGATCGTCCGGACGGTTTACCGTATGAGGGAAGGGGCGGTGGAATTTTAGATCTTTTGATCTGGTAATTGTTAATATTATATAATAACCGAATAGAAAAAAAACCGTCGAGATCTCTGAACACGAGTATGTTTTTCTGTCCCGTTGTAGAGATGCCGCATTCGTATGAGCACGTCGTAGACGCGCAGCAGCAGCAGCAGCAGCAGCAGTCGTCTATCGGAGACGAACTGTATAACCTGACGCAATTGGCCGAAGTCAGCATTGTCTACTTCAAACACCACACGACCGCCATTATTGAAGATTCGAAAACATTTGATAAGGTAAGTGAACAATAACGCATACTTAATATTGAATGATTTTAATTTATGATAACACGTGCAATCGGTCGGACAGATCACGGGTTTAGCGATCGGTGGTTATATCCAAATCTCCCGTCTGAACAATATTTGGATAATGACAACATAATCAAACAACATACTAGTTCTGTCCTTAGTTATTCGGATATTTGATTTCTATCTCAATCTATATGGCTATTGATTTTATTTTAACCAACGATAACCTTCAATTTATGGTAATCATCATGCGCTGTGTAAAATTATTCTAAATGTCTTTTATAAACTGCAGGTGTCTAAACCATTATTATTTGTTTGAAATTGATTCGACTTTTAATCAAATGTCCGAATGACATTTTAATTCATCAGTATCATATAATATTTTAGGCCGGAGAAAACTTAAAAAAAAATTTCCCAAGTGTTACTCCGTCATTCAACAGCGGTGTCTTTGCAACGCTGCTCTACTACTGAGAGCCTACTAAGAGGCGAAACGGGACTCCTGTACTCTGTAGGGCTTTGGCTAGTCAGTATGTACATTTTTAGAGGGCCAAAAGATATTCCTTCGTTTTTTAATTTGGTCTTGGCTCTTGCATTAGTGTGTAATAATATGTTGCGTGTAACCGGCCACAAAGGACGATGGATTTTCTAAATTTACTGCACAAGAATATCGAGCAGTGACGGATCCAAGTAGGAGGGAGGGAGTTAACCTTCTTATAAACCAGGAAAAATATATATTGAAAATGGATAATTTTATGAATTAAGAAAAGATTTTTTTTTTTAAAAAAAGTATTAGAGAAAGTATATAATTTGTACATTTATTCATACAAGAAAATAGTAGTTTTAGATTTAAATTAATGTATAATATTACTTACTATTATCTTTATTCATTATCAATCACTGACTGCAATGTTATAAAAAATATCCCTAGGGAAAACATTTTTCAACCTCCCTCCCCAAAAGAAAAAAAAAATCCTGGATCCGCCATTTATATCGAGTGAGCGTCGTGTTTTGACAATTCGTTTTTCTTCTGTCGTACTTTCATATAGAAAGAAGCTGACAACGAAGATGGTGACGACGACGAGATACTTCTGCAGGAGAAGACGACAAAGGCGAAGAAAACGACCAACAAGGAGCGCCAGTGTCCGGATTGTGGGAAATGTTACAGCACGTCCAGTAACCTTGCCCGGCACCGGCAGACACATAGATCGCTGGCAGACACTAAAGCCAGACACTGTCCCCATTGCGACAAAGTACGTTCGTAATTATTATGATCCTTAATAATAATAATCGTGTTAAACCCCATACCCTCCACACTAACGAGGTCGAAATATCGTGCCAACCACTTCACATTAAAATTAGATGGCTCACCGGTAAACTTTTACCCAAAAAATGATTAAATAAACATTTATATATTTTCAATTCCTTCCTCGAGGTTCACTTAATGGTACTATGTCCAAAAATCTCCCAGTTCTTGCCTTGACAGAACATTCTATTACAATTTTATTATCAAAACAAACCAATTCCCATTATACGAAATCAGGTTCCACCTTTCTTCCATTATCCACCTATACAAAAACTTTCTAAATCATACACATACTTTTCTAATATTTACACCCCCTAATTATGTCAACAATAATTTTTCTCGAATTTATTCATAACACTTTCCCACTTTTTATCCTAATTTTCACGGACGGCTCGGTCTTCCCCATCAACTGGGTGTTCATTCTTCGTACCGGAGTTTCTTACATCTTTTTCTAATAATCTTCCACTCACTACATCTTCATTCACAACTGAATGATTTGTCATTATTGAAGCACTCAATACTATATCTTCCTAGTCAGCAAATAAATTTCTCATCGCCACTGACTCACTTTCCTGCCTCCAAGCTCTTTCTTCAAATGCTTTTAATTTATATATTTCTCCTCTTATATTTACTATAAAATAAATCTTATATTTTCTAACAGAATCATGTATGGACATTTCTCAGATACACTCCGAGTACAAAATAGATTAATCTATTCTGTGCTTAGAGTTTGAAAATTCCATGGTCTAAGAACCTTAGAATCTGTGTTATTTAATCTATGGTTTAAACACTGGAAATCACTTCTTAATTTCATCACTTGGTACAGAAATATATTTCCAATCATTCCATTACCAACCTGGTTTCACAACCTCGATATCTTCAAGAAAAGTATAGTATTATGTTTTGGTCTTTACTTTGGGCAGAGACTACTTTTTACTTTTTAAAACTTCTATTAAACGATTTTCCCCTCTGCACTATACACAATAACCTTATGGTTTGCGACATAATCCCCCTAATTTTCAACTGCCCTGTTATTCACTTTTATGTGACTACCAATTATCTCTTCTCAATGCCTCCAACATTCATTTTGACACCAAAAATATTCTCTTAAACCAACTAAAAAAATCATAATCAAAATACTCTATTTCTTCATCATTCAGGCTTTTTAATTTAATTGTAATTAATTTTTGTATACAACTTATATTTTATATTGTTCACTTATTTTTCTCGCTAATGTCTAATTGTGGATATTGTTTTACAAAGTTTAAATAAGATAAAAAGACCATATTAAAAGCTCGCACGTGGTTTTCGATTTCCCAATGGTATTACGTTACATTATATTGATGTGTTTAGTACGAAATATTTTAGTAGACCCGTTTGCTCTGTAGGTATCGTATAGAGAATATTTTATCTAGCATATTATGAGGAATGAATTTTTGGATTTTCCACCTCTGATATTTTTCCATGATACGGACACTATCACCTTAGCCGCTATGTTATCTATCTGATGTACTTAATAAATACAATTAACATGTGATGAAAAAGAAGCTTTAACTGGTAAAATATAAATTGAGTTGGCCTGGGCCTGTAGTCAACCTACCCTGTAAACACGTCACTGCTACTTTATATCGATTTCGACTGCGAGTATTCTATATAGAGATGTTAATATTAGATGATTATTATTAGTTACTGTGGTCTGGTCATGTGTATAGTTGACATAACGTCGCTGGCTCGTCTATGTAGTACGTGTGGTAGGTGTCAGGTTATTTTAGTTCTGATAATCAATTAATTAATTATATATTCTCGGCGAAGAGGGTCCAACTAGATACCTACCTGTATCTTTCAGCATTGTTTCCGCTCTTCAAATTGCGTTCGCGAAGATACGTTGTCATACTGTATTTCTTGTATTATTTTTCAATGGGATGTGAGTATTCATTTAAAGGAAGTGGACGAAGAGGGAGAAGGATTGCTAATTAAATATTTTCCATAATAAAAGGTGTAAATCACGTCAATAGAATCACGTTCGTTGACAACTGGTTGTATGTACAGTCGACGCAATTATACGTGTCACAATATTTTATGCGTTTAAAATGTAATTATATGTAAATTAATAACACGTATTTATTTTATGTTTGTTGTATAAATAAAACGATGTTTTCAAAACTTTTCGGTTATTTTTTTAAAACGTATTCGAATTATTTTATTAACAATTGTTGAGAATGAACCGCAGATAATTAAATAGCGAAGTACGGATATAAAAAAAAATAAAAACAAAGACGATTCATGTTATTTAGGAAGTCGCACTAGTAATAATAGTCGTGCTATGTATATACACAATAATGTTTTACGTGATGCAACAATTATTGCTACGTATGTTTATTTATATCGCGTAACACCGTGTTCGAGACCACAAAATCGTAACTTTTATGTACGTACGTATATTTCTGTATACGTCGGGACGTATTTATTGAGGGGGTGGAGCAAGTGGTTCGTACGTAAGCGTCGGGTTGTAAAATGTAGGGGTGGTGAATTTATTTTTAAACGTATCATTTGGACGGTTTTAAGATGGTAAATGATTACGACCCGGGGCGCCGAAATTCTAAATACTAATCTCGTGTACGTACTACACGATGTACGTGTTATCCATGGATCTAGCATAATATGAAAAATTTAAAAATAGATATAACTTATGTCTCCCATAAAAACTGTAAGTTCTTGTATGATTCGCTAGAATAATTAATTTAGTCCGATACATCAGATTTAAAAGGTGCGGGATCAACATTTTCAGAAAGTTATTTTTGAAAAACACATAAATTGAAACTATTGATTGGAAATTGGTCCCATATAAATAAAATAATCAACAACATATCGGATGGGAATTGTTGATACATATCGTACACTCCGCGAAATGAAGTGACGAAGATGGTTGAAGATGGAATATTTTCTTCTCGATCCATACCGTTCGTATTTTTTACGCATGCAACACAGTGCTAACCTTTTTACAAGTCTTTACAGAAACGAAAAAATGATTTTGAGAAATAGTTCTGTACCGTCCCCGTTCGAAATTAAATGCTTATAGGGATCCTGGCTTTAGTGACGGATCACAACCGCCCATAGGCACGGCCGAAAAAGCCGTGACCAGTTTTCCTTAGGTCTTCCTCTTAGACGCATTAATATATTTATCGATTTACATAGTCACATTTGTTTATGCGCAGGTGTACGTGTCAATACCGGCGTTCTCGATGCATATGAGAACGCACAGCCAATCGTGTAAATGTCACTATTGCGGTAAATGTTTCTCCAGACCATGGCTGTTACAAGGGCACATCCGTACGCATACGGGTAAGTAGTCAGTCAGTAGCTAGAAAACTTCTTTTTATCATAATTTCTTATTAATTTAAAACAATTTTTTTGTTGCATTCCCCTCTTTCTTCCCAGGCGAAAAACCTTACGAATGCGAAAAGTGTTGCAAAGCGTTTGCGGACAAGTCGAACTTGCGAGCTCATCTGCAGACCCATTCTACAGAGAAACCACACGTCTGTCAGAAATGCAACAAAGCATTTGCACTAAAATCATACTTATACAAGCACGAGGAATCAGCTTGTGGTAAAATGACATCAATCAACAACAACAACAACAACAACGATTAGGAACCTTTTTATTTTTTTATTAGTTTTACAAATCAAAAATGCTTAACAATTATTATTTTTGTTTGTATATAATTATATTTTATGATAATTAAGATTTTCATAATTCTCTTGTTTTTTTCCCGAAATGAAATGAAAATAAAATGTGATGGATATTGTACGCTATTATTTTTTGGTGAATACTTTGGTAACATATTAGGTGCTAAAAATGTAAAACATATTTTCAACATTATATTTAAATACAATTTAAAATACTTTGAATAACAAAGTTACAACAGTGAAACTTTCTTATTTTAAACACATTTGATAAGAAAAAAAAAAATTATAATATTAAATAAATAAATAATACAAAAATAAATAAAGAAAAAGTAGGAAAAACAAAACAAAACAATTTTTAGGCCTAATACGTTTTACATAACAAAATCTAAGCAATAAATATGTACCATTTAATTAGATTTAGGTTGATTTCAGAATTGAAACCAATGAATTTGACAAAACCAAGTGTTAGTTGAAGTGTATTTTCCTCTTTAGTTTGAAGAGTTAAATATAATCATATTTTTCTTAATTTTGTAGGTACAAAATAGAATAGTTCAAACATTTTTCTTTACAAATTTGTTTATATGTTTTAATACTTTAACAATAAAATAGCAATTAGTTAATTTTAAGTAATAATTTAGAATATTTAAACGGACGAGTGCTACTAGTCACATTTTATTTATTTTTGTATACAACAGTGAGTTTGTTTTAAAAATATTTATTAATTTTGTAAATACATACACTAGATTATACATGACTTTCTTTATATTGTAGAAAATATATTTTACATTTTAAGATGAGAAAAATTATTGTTTACTTAATTTTATACATTTTATAAAATCTATATTTATTAATTTATCAACTTGTGTATCACAGATAGAAAATGTAACCAGAAAAATAAATAAAATTGTCTTTTGGTGTCAATAAATTCAAATACAAACATCAAAAATGAAATTTAAGATCTTTGTAAAATTATCTGACAACCATAATCAACTATAGGTTAGAGGTTGTAGAAAATATTTTATTTTTTAAAAGACAGATCAAAATAAGTATTTGTAAGTGATTTTACCTCCTTCAATTTATGTTTACAAAATAAATAATTTAAAATTTACCCAACACTTAATGAATATTTAATCATTATTGACGGTTTGTATTCTTAAAGAATGCTCTTTGCGTTTTGCTCTTTGCCACTTGTTTGGGGTTTCTTTATTGGTCAAATCAATACAACCATTTCTAAAAAATTAAAAGTTCAATTCAAAATCAAGAACAATAAATAACTTAAAGCACCAGAGTTAAAATTAGTAATCAATATTATTTTTATACAAATAAATAAATTTCTTCACCTGCAAAATAGAATGGTATTGTCATCAGATAAACTAAATGACCAATTAGACACACTAGTTTTCCAAATTATATCAGTAGAGTGACCGTACATGTAACCTAATTCTAATTTATCTTCGGGTATATTCAGTTTTTTAGATATCTAAATACAAATGGTTTATATTTTAAGATAAAATATTAACATAGACAACAAAAAATATAATAATTTAGTATTCTTACTTCAGTAGCAAGTTGTGTATTAGCAGATGTTGTGGATGCTATGTCAACAACAAATTCCATTTCACTAATCAAACGTTGTTGCAAACCATGTTCTTCTACGTGATTGACAAACAGAAGTCGTTTGGTTTTATTCAGTTCTAATTCACAGCGATCTTTTAAATCCAATATGACCATCTCCCAACCTTGGCCAATATCTTCATTCCAGATTTCTTCATTAAAATAACATCGCATTAGTGCATCTTCTTTTTTCTTACGTAAACGACACCTATGAAATAAATATGTAATATTTAGAAAATAATCAAACAGTAAGAAATTCATAATAAATTACAAACCTCTCTAACGGAATGTCGATGTTCTGTGTTATTTTCAACTTTGTTAATAACTCTTTTTTGGTATCTAAAACTGAAGTTCCCACCGTAATAATCCAATCGAACATTTTTTTCATAACCGTCTAAAAAATAATACCAATTAATTTATTTGTTTATTTTTACTAGTTATTCATGTTTCTATAAACAATTATTTACTTGAGTTTGATCCAAAGGTTCAGGCCAAAATATAGTACCACGATATTCACCATCACATAATGCTTGACCTATTGAGATTTGAATTGTGTCAGAATAGTTTAAATCTTCTAAAGAACTGCTGGGCAATGCTAGTTCTTCCATTATAAGATTTGTGTCAGACTTATAGCGATTTAAAATAATGAAATTTGATGGTATGTGAATGTATGGCACTAAATGATTTTTAAGTTCATTGACAGTCATACGTTTATCAACATAAGCATATAGTTTTCCTAAAATATATTAAGTATAACATTTCAATTCATTTACATTTGAACTCTAATTAAATAACAAACAATTTATATTAATACATTTTTTAAAACTTAATATTCAATAAAATAATTTATAAAATATTGGTAAATAAAACAATAACATTTATGGAAAGTTAGATTTTATAAATACCATCATCTTTTTTGGCTGCTTTGAAAAAATATTTTTCATTTAACTGGAATTCATTATCATTATCATCGTCATCTTCTGTTCCATCCCAATTCTCATCTAATCTACCATTTTCATACACCTGAAATTATTAAAATTTTTAATACTATTCATATCATTTAAGAAATATGAAGTTATACTTTTATAGGGTCATGTTCAAATGCTGGAGAATCCATTTGATAATCTTCGACAGCATCCCCTTTGATAGTTCTAAGTCAAAATTACACATTATAAAATATTATAAGTTATTTAATTGATTTTTTTGTTTATAAATAGTAACCTTTCACTGTCTGTTATGCTACTGTCCTCACTTTGGTCGCCACTTCCATTGCCAGGGGCTAAAATAATCATATCATCAGAATGTGGCACTAAATTATTGTCATCAGTTAACAGCTCACATTCTATTGGAAAATAGAATTTTAAATATCAAACAAAATAATATAAATTTAATGGTGAATAACAAATACAAACCATCTATGACTTCTATGATTTGTTTTTCAAATGAATCCTTGGACAAGTCTTCATTATGGTCATTGACTGAATTTTTATTGTACAATTTATTCAATTTTTGTAAAGTTTCTATAAAATAAATAAATGAAAAATGTTGTTACATTATTGAAGTTAATTGTATTAAACATTTCAAGAAGAAGGAATAGTATTTGTTCTGAATCTTTTCTGATAGATTATAGTACTAACATTTTAAATAGAATCTTTGATTAAAGTGACTTATACACAATCAATTTTATTGTGTCAGATACATATATTGAGCATACGGTGCAAGTATTGAATAATTTGTATGCATAGGCATAATACTGTATAAAAATTATTTTTTTTGTTTCAGTTGAATTAGAGTCGCCATGTTAAAGCAAAATGAAACAATTTTATTATTGAACTATTATTAACCCTACACTGCACAATGTTCCACATTTGGAACAATTAATAAGCCGTTAATATTGGCTTTCGTTTTGTTGATATGATTGTAATGTGTAGTTTTAATGAATCTGTATAGATGTCGGTAGATATGTTTCCAGAAAACTATCCAATATCGTATGTAGGTGATATAAAGCTGTTCCAAAACGGCATAAGTACTAATTTCAAAATGTTCTTTTTTTCCTTATTTATAATAATTAAAATAAAATCAAGGAGGTTACATATATAAAAAAAAAAAAAACGTCAATGGTTAGCTTATTTTCTGGTCTATACACTGTTCAAAATAAAAAACGTAGACGACGGTCGACTTTTGCGCATGGGCGTGGCCTCACTACGCTTATCGAGCTTTGACACCGTCGCCAGCGAGAGCATCGCCTCATTCTATTGTTGACCAGTGACGCGAACAATTAACTTAAAATGCATTGTTTCCTATTTTTTCACGGGACCGGCACGGCGTGGCGCTGCGTTACACGTTGGGCCGTATTTACCATATGTCAGCTTAGCATACAACAGTCGGAACACAACGAACGTTAATACGTCGACAACGGTCGTATGTCAGCGGCTGTCGTCGGTAAAATAGACGCACGGTGGGAGAAAAATCTGTCCGCCGCCGTTTACGTTTCTTATTTTGAACAGAGTATATAAATAATAATATTGAATTCCGTGCTAAAAAGAGTTTATAAATAGCAATTCACATAAATATAATTGTTCCATATATGGAACATTGAGCGCAAGAAGTCGTTATATAAAAACTATTATCGGTCTTCTATGTCCCTAACCTGGGCACGATTGTAACGCAGAAGAATGAATGTCAAATTGAAATTCAACAAAGAATAAAAATGGGAAATAAATGCTTCTATGCACTAGGCAAACTACTAAGCTCGATAGTCATGTCAAGAGGTTAAAACTCAGCTGTATTTGACAATCATACGACCAATAGTCATGTATGGTTCACAATGTTGGACGTTACGAAAGACTGAGGAGGAAAGATTAGCAGTTTTTGAGAGGAAGATACTTCGTAAAATATATGGACCTATATATGATCAAGAGCTTCAAGGATGGAGAAAAAGACATAATCAAGAACTGACGGAGCTTTTCAATAAACCAAATATTATAAACGAGATCAAACGGAGTAAGTTGGAATGGGCAGGACACGCAGTTAGGAAGCAAGATTCAATGGTTCAAAGGGTACTCCAAGAAAACCCAAAGAGAAAAAGACCACTGGGTAGACCAAGGCTACGCTGGGAAGATGGAATTAAAAAAGATTTCCTAAATGCTGGCGGAGCGGAATGTGATCATAGGAACTGGAAGGAAGTAGCGAAGAATAGAGAAGAATGGGAAAGGATTTGTTCTATGGCAAGATGGTCGCAAAGGCCTTAAAAAAAAAAAAAAAAATTAGTTAATCATGATTTAAAACTAAGTACCGCATAAAAATATTGTACAATATTGTATTGCGCAAAGTAATTGATAGTATAGAGGCCACTTAAATACATTGAAAAACCTTTGCAGGAATTCAAACCTTTTATTTAAAATAATTTATATTTATATATATATATATATATATATATCAATTATTTTAAAATTTATTATTTTATATATTATATTTTATATAATATAATTATTTAATTATTTTATTTATATTTATATATATATATATATATATATATATATATATAAATTATTTTAAATAAAAGGTTTGAATTCCTGCAAAGGTAATAATTAATAGTAATCTCATCTTTATTACACTACTCTGAGAAATGCATTTTATTTTACTATATGTAATGGGTATATAAATTATGTTTTCATTGTCAATAACAATATACCTGCATCCTTAGTTGGCATGACAAACTGTAATAAAATTGTATTATCGCTTCGTACGATTATATTTTTCATCTTCTGCATAATGGCTGATCGACCAATAGAACGACGTTCAATAAATACAAATACCTATCATAGAAATATTGAAGTTATTTAGTGATACATTAAATAAAATCATATTTGAATTTCATTAATACATACATAATTGGTGAAAATTGAGGAACATGGAACATTTTTTTCCAGTATTAATGGTTTTGAACTGCTTTGTACAGTAAAATGTAACACAGATTCTCTGGATATATCATATTGCGAGTAAAGTAACTCACTAAGATCTCCTATTTGTTTGTTTTCTTCAATTTCAATTTCAACTGGTTGACTTACATCAATATCTTCTTCATTGTCATCCAGGTTTATCATAAATAATTTCATAATAACATCTGATGACAAGATCCAACATTAAAACTTAAGTAATTATATTATTATTTGTTATCATTATTCTTACATCCTGGAGTAGCTGTTGAACTTCCATTATCTTCTGAGTCAACCATTTGAAGTAACAAAACACATGGAGAGGAATATTTTAGGTGACATACCAAACTATTTTTGTACTCCAAATTGTCAACAACTTTTTGTTCCACTTTATTAAAAATAACAATCTGACATGGTTTGGTAACTTTAAAATGCTAAAATTTAAAAAAATAATAAATTGTAATCAAATATATATTGTCTAACGAGAACATATAATTGAAACTCAAAATAAATTACTACCTCAACAACCATGGCTTTTAAATCATCAACAGTGGTTGTCCTGCTACATTCAAATTGCCAGCTTCGTACACCACACTCCATAAAATCAGCTAAATGGACAGGTACTTTGTACATGTCTCTTTCTCTTTCTCTCATTTGTCTATCTTCTTCAGCTTTTCTCTCTAATAAATTATGAAGTTCTTTTAAATGTGGTGGAAATTCTTCTTGATCCATAGCATTTTTATTTCTTCTATGATCAATTTGTCGGTACATGAGCATATATGCATTTGTGCTAGAAGTGAATTGGCCAGAATAATATCCTCCTCGTACAGGACCTCCACCAAAACTTCTTTCAATATCATCCATTGTAATCTAATAATAACATATACAATTATATATATTAAAAATAATATTGAAGATATATAATATAAAACAAATAATCAAATTTACCATTGTTACAGACTGATCATTAAAACAGAACCATTGATCAGTTTTTAAATCTTTAATATATGCATAATAATGTCCTCCTGATGCACTACCAGAATGTATCATGATGGCGTAAAGTTCATACATATATGGCCCAATTAATTCATTTTCGGAGTTCATGTCTCCTCCACGTTTATCCTCATGCTTATGTTGGCTAAGGTCAATACCTTCATCTTCGTCCTGAAAGAAATAATTTATTTACTAATTCAAATAAGTGATATTAGTTGATACAGTATAATGCATATAATAATCATTACATTTCTTTAATTTACCTGATCAATTTCATCTAATGCCGATGAACTGTCAGTGCCAGTGTAACTACTATCATCACACTTACTGCTAGATCCAAACAATTCTTCAGGAAATCCTTCCGAAAGTGCTTCCTCTTTGTCCATACTATTTTTATTATTTGATATAAAACTGTTTAAATTAAGTTTTAGAGGAAATACAACTCTGAAAAATTATAAATAAAAGGCATAATAAATTTGCATTATTATATTTATGACAACAATTTATTACCTGTCATTTAATTTAATACGATACATAGTGTTGTAATCAAAATCAAAACGCATTAAATGTAATGTCATAATGTATGGAAACTTGCTAAATTTTAAACCTTTATGAGCATTACATTTTTTATTACAACGTTCACAAAAATATTGATTATTGCCATCTAATGTTTCTGGCTGGGTGAATCCTTGCAGTGCCTCCATCTAGATTAGTTTACAATTTCATTTATGTTGATTAAATAAAAAAAGTATTTGTAAAAATAATTCTTACTATACATCCATAGGCATTAGTACTCCCAAATGGACGTATAGGAAGAGGTATGTCCAAAAATGTATCTTCTCTTGATTTTTCAATTCCACATTCTTGACATTTCACATAATCAATCATTTTACCTGAAATAAATTGTTTTATTTATAAAAATTAAAAGAACATACATATTATTTGAATTAAAATTAACCTTGATAAAGCTGGTTTATGAGATCAACATGAGTAGTATTTTTAAATTCTTGTTCAAGGGCATCAAACATTACTCTACATAATTCTTGAACATCATGTTGATGCCATGCTTCACTAGAATCCCAGCCAAAACTACGTGTAAGTTCTGTTGTTTCAATACTGTGCCGGGGTGAAGTCTATATGGAAAATAAAGTTTTTTAAAAAAAATGTATGCCAATACTTTTATAAAATACTAACTTGTAAGTTTAAAAATAATTTTTGAAGTTGAAATGGAATTGATTTTGATTCGTCAATATTAAAATCAAATTTCCATTTGTACAAAGCATTTCTAAATTCTGGTGTCATATACAAAGCCTGTAATAAACTGTTAAGGTAGCATGTCATTGCTTGGTTTACTAAACCTCTGTATCCTAAAAATATAATAAATTGTATTACAAAATTACCTTTTTTTTTTAAAATACATTTTAGTCAGATCACAATACACTTAAAACTTAAGTATTTACAGAACTCAATTATACAAGGATAAATTTTTGTAATTATTTCAATCAATATTTTTGACATTCTAAACTTCCAATAACTCATTAACTAATTTTTTACTAATCCAATGTTTTTTTTTGTGATATTTAATAGGTATAACCAGCAATTGGGTTACATTATTTTACTTTATTAGTAATTACATATTTTTACATATATATATATATATTTTATATGCTGAACTTTTACAATATCATACCTAAACTCATGATTAATTTATAATGACTATTTGTTTTATCCTAAAAGAATATTTAAACATTACATGATTAATTTAGAAAATTTAACCATTTTGTCAACTTAGTTAAATTGCTTTATTTCAAAAGTTATTAAATTATACAGCATATAAAAATTTACTAAAATAATCAAACCTGTAAAAGTTCTTTCAGTTGAATGGTTATAGAGCATACGAGTTGAAGGTAGAGCAAGCATTGGCATTGTGGATGTTGGTTCTATAATGTTATTTTCTAAAACAGAAGATGAATCTAGACCATTTCGACGAACCGAAGGATGAATTTTGGAATATTGACTTTCCATTTTCTGATCTGAAGTAGAACTCAATTTTGAGGAAATATCATTTTCCATATTATCTGGTGAACCACTCAATGATAATTCAAAACGATTTTTCACTCCTTTGTGGAACACAACACCTATCTCACTTAGCAATCTTGTATCTTCTTCTGTTATCCTTTGCTACATATTTAAACAATATTTTTTAAGTATAAATTAGCAAAGCTATATATTTTATATAAAGTTTGACATACTTTGACTAATTCAGCAGTTGCATCAATTGTATAGGAATTAAATGTCAAAACAAAATGATCTACATTTAAATCATCAAGTAGACATAACTGAAGTACTCGAAGGTACATTTGGGATACAGTTTCAGTTTTAGTCACAGGTATTGAAAAAGATTTTATATCTTTAGATATGCGTATAATACATTCAGCCTCTTCTTCTTCTTCAATTTCATTCTCTGACAGTACAAAACGATTTTGACTGCCTTCACCAAATACCAATCCAATATCAAACATAGACCGATCATCATCTTCTACTAAAATTGGCTGAAATTATAATAACTAATTAAAATATTTGGAAAATAAATATTACAAAGTCACTAGTTATAAATACCTTATTCCCTGTTATGATTTCAGAATTAGAATCTGCTTTGAACGAACTAAATGTAAGGTAAAACGAATCGACATCCAAATTATAATATTGAGAAACAATGTGAACAAACTGACGAACAGTTTTATTTTTATCAATATAACATTCAAATTCATCATTATGAGTAGATTTGTCATGAGGGTTGCTGAATTTGCGCACCAGGCATTTAGCTTGATCATCGCCTTCAGAATCCTCAATAACACTCACCATTTCCTACATTTTAACATGTAAAAATATCAATTTACTATACAGTATAAGGTTATTTAATTGTTTTAAATTATTAAGAATACACAAGTATATACATACGTTAAAACATTAACTGTGTTCAAACAATAAATAAAGATAAACTTTATGGTGGTCAAAATATGATTCCTTACATGTTTCTGTAAAAGATCAAAAATATAAAATTGGTATCGAATAACAAAGTATTTTGAAATAATTTTAACTATATCATAACATAGTAAATTAATTGTGATAGCCAACTACAGTTTAGCAGAAAAATACTTCCCACCACTACCACTATTTTTATCTCATTTTTGATTGGTGAAACAGTTTAATGTTGAGACTGCATTCAATGAGTCACTAGTAAGTTTACATACTTTAATACTGAAAATATAATAATTGGATACTTTATTGGTACACTCTATTTTTTATTTTATATATATATATATATAAAAACTAACTGAAATTATGATGCTACAAATTTTAATTTTAGAAAATGTATTTCAAAGAAAAACAATTTAATTTGTTCATGATAAAATATACTTTATAACATAGAAATCAACATTTATATATTTTAAAAAATATTATATGAAAATACATTTTTTAATAAAGTTTTTTTGTAAATTTACTAGTTTTCAGTAGATATAAAATTTGTTGAGAATATAAGAACATAGTCTGATTTATTTCTAGGTGTTTGTCAAAGAGCCAAGTTCTAAAGGCAGCCCATGACGTATTATAGGGTCAGAAAGAGTGTCAAAATTAGACTAATCTTACTTCCACTCTCACAAACCATACATTTGTCTCTCATTTCCTACAATATGCATTAATACTAACTTGCACACTAATGTCACTTTTTTTTATTTTTAGAAATACAATTTTGTTTATGCAATATAAATAAGAAAAATTATGAAAACTCGTAAAATTTAGTTAAAATCTTTCATACTTGGATAACAATATGCAATTCAAGGTTAAACCAGAAATTTTGAAAAATCAATGTTAACTAATTATTATTTATTATATAAATATATAAAATTAAGTTTCATTAATTTATAGATATGTTTTGTCAATTTGAAAACGGTTACTTTTATCATATATTGACTTAATTAATAATAATTACTTTAAATTGGATAAATAAAAAGTACAATTGTTCAACTCTAATTCATATTAAAATTTTATTTTTTATTTTGTATATAAAATAAAACAAAATATATGTTATAAGTTTGATGAGCATATATTTTATAATTAAATTAATTGGAATAATTTTCTTACTTTTAATCATTTATTTTCACAAGTTATAAATGCTTCATTTTTTTTTTTTTAATTTCCTTGTTTCATTAACTTATTCTGTTAGTTTTATTTTTTATAATTTGGATTTTTAAAGCTACTAATTATAGTTAATATTGATTTAATGTTCAATTATAGTGAACTCATATGGGGTTTTTAAAAAAAAAAAACTGTAGTAGGTACATTAGTACATATCATCACATTAATCAACCATTAATGAATTAATATTCGTTTTAAACTGTCATTAGTTTAGATTTTGAATTTAAAATAATTCAGTCATATAAATAAGAATGCAGTAAATACAGCCTTTATATACAAAAGGTTTTTTCACTTATGATGAACAATAGAAAATATCCAAAATCCATGAAAATATTTTAATAAAGGATAAACATAATTATATAAGTAATAAATTATTATATTAGTTTTAAAGAATCTGTTTTCGTTCCCTAATCTTGCCTTCTTCTATGTCAAATATATGGGGTTGACCATTCCCCAACTCTACACAGTCCTCTAAACACTTATTTGGTTATCAGCTACCCTCATATCATACTCAATTCCAACCAACCTTTTCTCCCTTTCTATTTTTTTTTTTTTTTTTACATTCATTTTCATGACAGCTCTTTACATATTATTTCCAAACCATCTATAAACCTATTTTCTCTATTTTTTTATGTTGATGTCAATCCTACTCTCTCTAGTAATTCAACACATCTATACATCCATCTTAATATTAAAATGTCCACTCTACCCATTCATAAGTTAACTGTTCAAAATTCCAATTCATACAACACTGCCTCATTCCATCTACCTTTCAGTCTTATTGGCACATTCTTATCACACAATAATCACAAAATACCCATGACACTTTTCTCAATTTCATTTATCCATTTGATGAAATTTAGTCTTCTTTATATTTTTATTTTAGAAAAACCATTAGTCCTGTATACTATTAGTCTTCATTATTAAATACTACTAAATAAAATCATTTATTTTCATATCATTAAAATATATTAATACACATACAATTGAACCAACATTTTTATGAATAACGATTAAAATGGGTATATGTAACATAGTGGTATAGGGGATAGATCCCTGACTAATGGTTAGCTAAATAAAAAATGTTCTACTACATACTGGTTCTAAATTAAATTAAATAACAATGGATAGTTATCAAATACTAAAAAAAACTATAGCTTCTAAACTTAATGTATGAAAAAAACAACGATAACGAATATATTACGTAAAACCACAATTATAATTCATATCCTTGGACTAAATTGTGATGAGGAAATAGGTATGTATGAAGGTCCGCATTTATGTTCAGACTATAATAAATTTATAATAATAATGTATTGTTTACGTTTCAATAGCATTAAAAATACTTACCGTTGAATTTACGATCGAAACGACGGACAAGTAACAGTTTAGTCGAACGAAAAGAGGGATTCGCACGACACACTGGACCAGCGAAAAAATATGTTCGCGCTATGCCAGTGATCAGAAAAGACGGGGGAAATTATTTTCTTTGAAACGGAACATTTACATTATACCAGTGCGCTTTGGCTTCTTATCAAACACACGTTTGGCTTATCAGCTAAAGGATGAACGATGACCTTCATGTAAAATGGTATTGCAGTTGTAAAACGATATTTTGATTATTCCATGAAATCAAAACTGATATTTCGCTACTCTAGTGATCAGTTGATTTTTATTTTTTCAACTTCTCTATATGCTCAAGATCCAAAACCTGTGCCGTATAGAGTGCAGGACAAGAGGGCTTAGGTCAGGGGTGCAGTTCTTAAAGGGGCGCAAATTTCAACACTACTTATGTAATATTTTTCACGAAATTTGAAAAATATGTAATTAAAACAATTTAATTTGATAATGTCATAGATAAATTTGCCTCTATAAGAGCAAGAAAAGTACCATTGTAATATTGTAATAAATAAATTTAAAATCATCTAACACAAATGTAAAACAAAAACATTTGGAGCAAATTACATGTTTTTATAATGATTGATTGTTTTAATTATTTTAATTATTTTTTTTTTTTTATAATTTTTTTTAAATTATTTATTTATATTGTTTTTTTATTTTATTGCTTATATTTTAATTTTTTTGATATTTTAAAGTAATACATATAGTTATTAAAGTTTATTAGTAATTATTATTCTTGTGTACTATGTTTTTATATATGATGTATGTCTCATTTATATCTCAAATGATTTTTTTTATACAAAAATTCAACTTTCCCATTGGGGGAAGGGGCAAATACAGTGATTCGCCAGGGGCGCCACCAGACCTCAATATGGACCTGTCCGAAATTGTGAATAATATTAATCCGCAAAATAAATAGAGAGACACAAACTTTTGGTGAACCAATTTATGAGATTTCTTTAAGCGAAAAATCGCAAGGATTAATATAACAGTAAACAAAAAAAATTAAAAAATAAATGCATTTTAAAATTAACCGAAATGCATAAAATTACTTGCGGTAGAATGTGTAGGTATGCTAATAGTACATAAATTAATGACATAATTTTATGTATACATGAAATAGTTAAACAGAAATATCTTCTTCTCATTCGTCTTTCTCTCAAATATTTGGAGTCGGCCACTCTTATCTTAAACTTCCACTCGTCTCGATTTTCTATATCCCCTATGCTGCGTAGACTACGCACACACCAATAGCCCTCATACAATTTTCAATTGTATTCGACCATCTCTTTTTTGGTCCTTCTTATCTTCTTTTCCCTTCAACGTTCATTTTCATAACAACTCTTACTACTTTTGTTTCCTATCGACTCATCACATGCCCAAACCATCTCAGTCTACCTTTTTTCATATTGTCCTCTATCGCGTTGAAACCCGATTGAGCACGGTCACTATTTTGAAACAACTCTATTGAGCATGGTCCATAATATTTAATAGCCCAATTGAGCACAGTCAAACGAATGCAATGTTGCCAGTTTTCCTATCCGACTACAACCGGGCTACAAGCGTCTTTTGAAATATTCGTATGCGTAATCGTTGTGCTTTATAAGTCGTATGAGAGGTATTTAATCGTAGAGCATGCTGCATGGTGATTATTTTCATTTGTGGTTTCCCATCTCTTGAAAAGCGGCACGAGTCTAAGGAAAATCGATAAATAATATAAGAGTTGTTTAGGAAACGACATAATCGTAAAATCAAAATAGGTACATGCATTGGCAATTACGATTATCTGTTAAATTAGATATTATTTGTTATCTACACAAAATATTTTGTATTGTATTGTATTTGCTTTTGTATTGTTAGCTGTAGTAACTTAGACTCAATACTATCAGGTGTTAGTGGTTGTTCGTCGTTACACCGTTTTATTTTAAAAATGTTTACTTTATTTATATTCGTCGAACGCGATGGAAAATAATGAAATAAAAGTTATTGTATCAGAGCGAGGAAAAGAATTAGTCAATGTTGGAGCTTTTAAGTATAGATTTATTGGATTCATAAAAAAGGCGAGTTATTAAAATGGCGATGCACGAAAAATAACTGTACAGCTATGATTTATTCTGGGCCAGATAAAAATGTTGTTATTAAATCAAGTGGACAACATAATCATGTAGGAAATTCACATAGTAAATTAGAAAGGCAAGTATTATGTGAAAATTGTAAAAGACGTGCTAAAGAGTCACTGTCAACTCAACCTTTAAAATTGATCAGATACGAAATTTTAAATAATTTAGAACTGTCTTAATTGTTCATAAAGATTTAAAAACAGTTCGTAAGGCTATGTATGATAGACGACGGAAAATATTTCCCGAATTGCCAAAGTCATCGGAAGACGTTTTTTTTACAGTTGAATTTAATGAAAACTCAAGAAGATTTTAAGTTTCATGGGCAACCATTCATACATATTCCTGCAAGCAATAGTTTTTTGTCTTACTTGTGATTTCAACCTACAATTTATGATTAAACATGATTGTATTAATTTTTTTACGATGGTACATTTAATTACGTACCCAAATATTTTGTATAACTATATACTATTCATGGATATAAAAATAGTTATTATTTGCCGTTGGTTTATTTTTTTTTATTCGAAAAATCAATATAAATGTATATATAAAAAAAAAAAATGTGGATATTCCAAAAAGACGTATGTATAAAATATACAGGAAGTCAGTTCATATTAAAAAAATTACACGTTGACTTTGAAAAGACTGCCCACCAAGCCACGTATGAAGTTTTTGAAAATGTACAATTAATAGCTTGTCGATTTCATTTAGGCCAATCACGGTGGCAAAAGGTAAGTACAAAATAATTTCAAATCAAATAATCATATATTAATTGTATTTTTAATTATTATAGATAAACAACGATTCTATTCTCAAAATAACCTTGAAGTATCGTAATTATTAATACAAAAAAAATGTTAATTTAATTTCAATGAAATGTATTTTATTTTAGAACAACAAATGCGGTTGAACGTTTTCATAGAACTTACAATTCACAATTCTACAAGTCTCACCTACACATATACTTGGAAATTATGGTTTTACAAGAAATTCAAGATGAAATGATGACGAAAATTCGGTCAATTGAAACTGACTGTCATAAAAATATGAGTTTTATTGGAATGCAAAAACTAATGCAACTATAATGGCTTACAATGAATATTTAAAAAATAAACATTCTAAAATATTTATTAAAAGTGGGAAATAATTATTTAGGGATACCAATTTAAAACGTTGATTATTATAAAATAATTCTTGTAAATATTTCAATATTTTTTTAAATTATTATTTTGTTGTGTGGGGCGGCAACGTTGTACGTATTTCTATGCTCAATCGTGTTAAATTTTGGATTTCTATTGTTTAATTTTATTTGTGCTCAATCGGGTTCCAACCCTCTATCGACGCTACACTAATACTACCTAGTTCTCACATATTCGTTCCTTATTTTTTCTTCTCTTGTTACTCCACTCATCCATCTAAGCACTCTTATTTCCTCATATAACTCATACCAGCGCATTTTTTAATTAGTTAACTAGGCGACACAAATGTCACCCAGTGATTATACTTTGTCGACAGTATTTTAAAAGATTGGGCGAAATAATGCGAAATAAACGTGTAATACTATAATCGCATTATAGTATTATACATTGACTATTTTGAGAAAAACATTTTTTGTCGTCCAGTGAAAATTCCTTATAAAATGCACATACTCTGTTCTATTCTTCTATCAATCGTCCAACTCTACGAACATAGGCGCAACTAGGGACTTAGCCACCCGGACCAAGATTTACCCCCCCCCATAAATATTTCATATTATACATGACATACAGCATACTTTACTCAAAATAGTGTCACATAAAAAAAAAAACATTGCAGTAAATTCTTAACTTCACCTATCACATAATTTTTATTGCTCCTCATATCCTCAATATTTTGGTATCTTCCTTCAAAGTCATACTTTATATACTCTGTTTATTTCTATTAATTCTCAATCCCTTTCCTTCAAAGACTACCTTAAACCTCCACTCATTCAACCTATTATTAATTTCCTCCAGATTTTCTCATACCAAAACTATATCATAGCAAGCATCATATACCATGGTATCTCACCTGCATCTTTTTCGTAACTTCATGAAAACATAAATATCTAATATAATATTATACTATACAGGGTGTTCCTTAAATGGTTGAGGCAGTGCCGGATTACCCATTAGGCGGATTAATCCCCCGCTTTAGGGCCTCAATCATTTAGGTGCCCTGTGAAAACAGAAAACTATATTTTTTTTTTATTTAATAATACCTGTACTTTATTTACGAATTTAAGGGACAAAATTCATTAAAAAATATAATATATATTAAGTTGTAGGTGTTATATAAAGTAATAATAATACAATTATTTTGAAAAATAGAAATAATATAATAATAATAATAATAAATTAATTTTTCTTGTAAACACAAAAATGTAATAAACATGATTTTATTTATTAATAATAGTTGATTATTGTTAAAACTGTTTATTTTAATTATTGGACAGTAATGTTAAAGATGTATGTAAAAAATAATTTTGTAGGGCTCACAAATATTTAATCCGACACTGGGTTGAGGTAACTAGTATACATGAACTCTCTGAAGTGGCCAAATGAAAAATCTTTTGAAATTTATTTTTCTTCAAAACCTGTGTTTTACCTAATTATCTTTAGAACATTATTTCGAATTTAAAAATGAACACTTGTAACATTTTTCATACAAATCTATGTCACATATTTTGATCCTCGCGAATCAAACGTGAAAAACACGTGACAAGACCAAAATCGATGTCACATATCGATTCACGTGAGAAATTTGTAAGAAATATCTCACAAGTATTAATTTTTAGAATCAAAATAATGTTCTAAAGATAATTATATAATACTCAGGTTTTGATGATAGAAAAAAAATGTCAAAAGATTCATTTGGCCACTCCAGAGTGAATGCGTATACTAGTTTCCTCGACCATTTCAAGAACACTTAGTATATATTATAATATATATTATAGAATATAAAGTATATAGACATTAGGAAAAAAAAGTCTCGGAAAAAAGTTATTGATAAAAAAGTCTTCGATAAGAAAGTCACACCAAAAAACAAAAAAAAAAACTGTTTTGGCAGCTTTGTGAAATACGATTTAAAAGTCAACATTGACGTATAATTGATCTAGATATAATTCACGATTATTACATTCATTTAAAATTATGTAGAATATTTCTTCATAAGTGCATTTTTTGCTTAAGTAAGCGTAATACTAGCATAGTAAAAATGTTATTTACTTGGATTCGAATGACGTATAGCTGTAAGAAATGTTCGGACGCTAAACCAAAGTTTCCATCAATAAACCAGGTATCGGCATTCACTAACTGTTCTAATGAACTATTTAACGCAAATATTATAACCCGTCCACTTAACTCAGGACCATTATTTTTCAATACAAATCGTTCATTCCCACAACGTGTCTAATAATTTCCTTCGCCTTTTTTCCCAACTATTTGGAGTCGGCCACCCTTGTCCTAAACCTTCACTCGTCTTGATGATGAAAATTATCTTCATTAATTAATTCTTGTAAACTATTTGGTTTTATCGTGTTTACACTGCTTCTTTGATTATGAATACTTCTTTTTATCGACTCTTCGGATGGTAATTCAATTAATATGTCTTTTGGTACCTATATTTTGTATGGCTTGAGCAAACATTTTTTTTCAAATCAAATACAAATCTTTGCAAGTCTGAATTGAACATTCCTTAATAATTTGTTTGGTTTTCATGGCTCCTATGGAGCATTTATTAGCAGCATGACAATGCTCTCGTTTAAATCGGTAATTAATATTACTGTACATTGCATTGATGATTTTTTTTAACATTCCATCGAATTATACTTTTGCATTTCTTGTATATTGTATAAGTGTACCATGAGCGTATTTTAAGGGGGGGCGAAGGGAGCATTCACCCTCCTCCCCATGGCTCGTAATTTTTTTTGAATATAATACATTGATTTATTTAAAAAATGTATTGTGTAAATAATTATGAATGTAAATTACTAGTCTATCATTATAATATGATAATAAATTCAATAATTTGTCAATTTGGTCACGGATATCAATTTTTGTTTATTTTCTTATGGTATGTACACACGAGAGCATTTTTGTGCGTCGCACATTGCGAACATGTTAGCATGCGTGAGCATTCGTATGAATTTTGTTTGTTCGTGTGTACAAAATGTGCGACGCATACCATGCGTCGAACAATATTTACCCGTTCGCTTTTATTCCAGCTTTCCTACTATCAATTGTTTTTCAGTAGCCGATAATTTTTTAAATTTATATTGAGTGAAGTACATACCTATGTTGAATTACATTAAAAGTTAAATTAAAGTGTCTTTAATTAATTTAATTTAACAATAGTTTAAAGTTGTAATAAATAATGAATGGTTAGCTTCAAGTGTATGCTGCAGCTTTTATATTAATGCATAAGTTGATTAAAAAAAAAAAAAATGACTCGACGTGATCGCCGCTAGTGGATTTCAAAAATGTATAAGAACAATACAGATAGAGGACTAAATTTGCTAAATTATATGCAGGGGCGGCTCCAAAGCCTTGGTTAGGGGGAGGGGGCCAAGTTATAATTTTAAAAAATCTTATAACAAAAAAAAAAAACAGCAATTTTTACAACACAAATTCAAGTTTATTTTTAAAATTTGCAAAAATATCAATAATATGATCTATTTGATATAGAATATCTACTTTATGATAGAGCTTGCGTTAATGTATAGTTGTGCATATAATGTGCTGTTCTAAATTAAAATGTGCAATTCTTATTTAAATGTTGTGTAGTTCATAAAAAAAAAAATATGATTTGAATTTTTAATAATTAATTCTATATGTTTATGAGTTTGTAACATAGGTACTATTTGACATTATTTTGTTTTCTAGAATTATTAGAAATATTTATCTATTAATATCAAGAAATCAAAACTATGGTATTAGTAATTTATTAAAGTCTCCATTACTGGAGTCGACTCTGATGATATGCAGTTGATGAAAATATTTTGCATTTTTAAAATTTCACTCGTATGTCATCTGAATATTCTGATAATCTTCGATTAATTTAAAACATAATTTGCTATCTCAGTCCATTTTCGTCAAAGAAAAATGTACTTAACTAACTAAAATAGTTTTATAGCTTTATTTGTATGAAATAATAAATATTTATTCTCACTGGCATACGACGCACAACACAAAACCAAAATAACCGTCCACACAATAATAGCTGCAATAGCCCAACTTTGGTCTGAGGTGATTGGAGTGGCCTAGCTCTCCAGGTTGGGGGTTGATCAGTGGGCCAACAACCCACTATCGTAAAAAACCATTGTTCAGACATGCAATATTTCGCCTTGGGATGGTCATGGAATCAAGACTGGAAAACTGGAAATTGGCTCTACATTTTGGAACATGGAATATACGAACTTTATATCAGCCAGGAGCCTTAACATTAGTTAAAGAATTTAATAAGTATAGGTTAGAGACTTTAGCTATACAAGAAATAAGATGGAGCGGACAAGGTTCTACAGAAATAGGGAACGCGATATTTTTCGGTCAATGCGACAATTGCAGACAAGGAAGCACCGGCTTTATCGTTAAAAAAAATGTAGTGCCCGTAATTAAAGATTTCAAAATAGTGAATTCCAGACTATTCTCAAAATGGAGGGAAAATTCTTCAAAATTGCATTTGTCAATGCACATGCATCGTCTGAAGATAAAAGTGATGATAAAAAAGGAGGAATTATATTCACTGTTGGAATTCCTAGATATTGCATTAGTCTTACTAGGTGATTTTAATACAAAAATTAATAAAGAAGAGTGCTTCAAAACAGCTACCAGATCGAATAGTTTACATCAGCTATCAAATAACAATGGATTCAAGCTAATCGAATTAGCTACAGTTAGGGGTTTAAAAATAAAAAGTACATAATTTCCACATAAGAATATACATAAAGGTACCTTGAGGTCCTCATATGGCAGTTAACCAAATTGATCATGTATTGGTGAATGCGAGATTCAGCAATAGTGTACTATATGTAAGGACCTTCCGCGGTGCGGAATGTGGATCTAACTATTTCCTAGTTGTAGAGCGACTTAAAGTGAAACTGAAGAAAGCAAAAAAGAGAAAGGAAGAAAAAACGGAACTTTTTGATATACAAAAACTATGTGACCCCAAAATTTGTGAAAACTTCCGTAAGAATATATTAAACGAGATTAATGATGAACATATAGATTACGGGAATGATGATATCGAAAGCTTATGGTTAACTATAAAAAATGTGATCCGCAAAATGAGAAAAAAACAGTGGGGTTACGACGATTTATGAGGAATCTGTGGTTTAACCAGATATGCGAATGCCCTACAACGCAGGAAGCAAGCGTGGGAAGTTTAGTTAAAGGATATTAAAAATGAAGAATAGTTCTCTAGATATAAAACAAGACTAAAAGAAGCAAGCAAAATCATAAGATGCGAGAAGCGAAAATTTATCAAAGACATAGTAAGAAGTGCGGATCAGGACCATAAAAATCATAAGACAAGAGACCTACATAAGAAGATCAGCTCAAGAGCCCAAAAACAAGGATTTTAAACCGAAAGAAATGTTTTTAAGAAACGAAAATGATATTTTGTTAACGAATAGAGATGACATAGTCGAGGAATGGGCTCAATACTTCGAGTAGTTGCTGAACTGTAGAGAACCCACTAATCCATTCCTCTTTGTGAATAAAGAACCGAATAGGGTAGATTATCTTGAACCTACGGTAGAGGAAATTGCGAAATAAATAAAAACCCTAATAAACCACAAGTTGCCCGGTGAAGATGGGATAACCGGAGAGCTACTTAAAACAGGAGCGGATAATCTTATTAAATATATCCACCACAAATGGCAAAAAGAAGATATACCTAAGGAATGGTAAACAGCCTTAATCTATCCCATCCATAAAGAAAGGAGACAAACAAATATGCAACAATTATAGAGGGATTGCCCAGTTTAATGTAAAGTATAAAATTTTATCTTATTGTATACTTGACAGAATCAAACCTTGGGCAGAAGAGATTATAGGAGACTATCAAGCCAGTTTCAGGCAAAACCGCTCCACGATAGATCAAATCTTCATTCAACTATCAAACTATAGCTTATCAATAAATTGTCATTTACTATTTACAAAAAAGATTTTTTAACCAGCCAATTTATTTTATAAATAAAATAACAAGTATAGTAGAAATATCGTTTTATTTACACTACAACGGGGGACTTTTTTCCGTTTACCACTAAACTTACCCTATAAAAATCATAAGATTTCCTAACTGCTAAATTGTATTCGTTAACCTACATTCTACAATAATTATTGTTGTAGTTGATATTAAAATGTTGACAGTACAAAATTAAAATGCAAAAAATTTATTTTAAATCAATAAACTATAATTTTGCAAAATATTTATAAATATTATATAACTTAATAAAGATTTCATGTTAGTACCTTTTAAACATTTACAAAAATAAAAATAGAAAAAACTTTAACTATAAATATATCTAGAAGTTATAATTTGTATACATTTTTACACTATCCAAAACTAAATATAAAATTAAAAATTTACATTTTTATTTAGGTGTCATTATGGCTCCATAACAGCAAGTTTGCAACAAAAATATATTTATTTGGCCACTAATTACACATTATCTTAATAAAAAAAATGATATAAATGATTATAATTTAAAATACCTACACTTTATAGTTTTGCAATACTTTAATATAGCGTTAGTCGCTTTATAGTTCAAATGACCTGTACTTTTTTAAGATATTTAATAAAACATTAAAATTTTATACTTCAATAATTGACATTCATTATACTTTTTAATAATGATATAGATTGTATATTATTGACTAAAATTATTTGAGTATCAATGACTGAAATATAAAATATAAATAATATATTAAAGATGTAAATAAAGTATGGTAATTTTTATCATAAAGCAACTAACGATAGATTAAGTAGGTTTAATAGTTTTAGAAATTTTTATTAATAAACAATATGAGAATAAAAATTTTAATTCTTAATTTTGATCACTTTGAAAAATTAAAAATGATTATTTTTTTTGTAAGTTATTTTGTAGTAGGTGTTAATTTGATACATCTAATGAGTTTTTAATTATTATATATTCAAGTATAGAAAAATGTTTAAATATTAAATCTGATTTTAGGGAATATGTTAGTATTAAAAATATAAGGAAAAACTGATAATTAATGTGTAACAATATTCTTATAAAGTACGTTTGGTTGAAGTTTGTTTGTAATATATACTTGTTAATAGTATACTAGTACTTAATGTAGCATTGAGGCAGAAATTTGTAAGCAACATTTTGTCGACTGAATCCATCAATATTGTATATATTCTTGCTGTAAAAATAACATAATAATTAATTAAATTAAAGGGTAGGAATAATTATTAAAATAGAAAATATTTATTTTATCTACTAATGGTTTATATAAAACTGAGATTTTAAAAAATATTAATATTAGGTAAGCAAGTTTATAAAATAATTATGATATATTATGTCTAAACTTTTAGGTGCTTTCATAAATTACATTATATACAAACAAAAATTAAATAAAAAAATGTTTTATACTTAATAGAAAAATTATTATCTCTTAACATTCAAAATATATATTACAATAAAAAACCATTTCTCCATAATGTATTTTTATGGAGTATATGCTTTACACATTTTTGTTAGTTTCTTACCTTTATTATCAATATTTTTAAAAATATAACCCTTTCTTTAATATAAATTCAATGGCATTTGCTATCACAACATATTGTGATGTAGATTAAGTATATCTATTCTTAAAGTATAAAGTATATCAACATAAAACAAAGTTGCCCCCCCCCCATAAACATTGCCCAAGTTATGCACATATACATATATATGTCATAGTCACAAAGAAATATTGATAATTTCATGACATGGAAACTGCTTTTACACATTTTTTAATTTTAATGGACACTCAGTCATAACTTTTTGTTATTTTTTCACAATATAGTCATCACTTCAGATATCATACAAGATATTTAATACTAATAGTCAATATAGTCCTGTATTGATTTCATCAGCAAATATTAAAACAATTATATCTATACAATTACTTCACTATCTGAAATTAGAAGATTCTATTAGTTTTCATATATCATACCTATTAGCAGTTTGGCAACTAATACCCTGATTTTCAATAATCAAATGTATAGTTTCTGTATGATTCACATCATATTGTCCATTTTAATTCACTTTAAATGAAACAGCCCTTTACTATTTTATTATATATGGAACATTTTAATGCTGAAAGTGAATTTTTATAAAAAATGGACAAGTTAAATGGAAAAAATGTATTCAGACAACCTGGTAAAACCATTACTTACTTATTTTTAAATTTTATTAAAGCATAGTCGTTTTTTAATAGAGGAGCTAAGAAAAGACATAATTATTTAATAACCTAAAAATATGATATGTTAACTGTGATTAGGAATAAAAATTTAATTTATAAAAAAAGAAAAAAAACAAAGGAAGATTAAAATTATGTAAATTCCTCTGGAATAAATATAGCAAACAAATATGTACAGTTAGTATTTAAATATATTTTTTAGATATATTATAATCTAACCTTGCTTAAATAAATAATATACTTCATTACAATGGCGCACACAGGGATGGTCAGGGGTGACGATTGACACCCCTCAGAGAATTGATGGATGGCTAGATCTATGTAAACTTGTATAAATATGTGTTTAATTTAATAGTAACCAATTTTTCAGCTATCCAAATCAACATACTAATTATTGTTTACCCTAGAACTAAAGCGTCATATGAGAATTAGTAGTAGGACTCAATCCCAAAAATTATGCTACACAAACTTATAAATTAATACCCAGAAAATTGAAAAATAATTAATAACCTGACATTAGGTTTATTTAAAACATTTTTTTTTAGTATATTTGTTAGTAAGAAAAAACCAAAAACATTTAAAAATAATAGTTATACTATGCCTAAACTCAGATTTTATTGGTGGGGATGGGTGGGTACCTTATAACAGTGGCGTAAATACGGGGTGGGGTCCGGGTTCAAATCCCCCCCCTCAGAGCCCAAAAAAAAAAAAGGAAAATTGTTTTATTATTGATGACGTGTAGTATATTCGTAGTTTCATTATTACACTTTGAACTTAAAATATACAACTATACCAATATTATGATAATTAAATAATTATATTGATAGGTGTTTGAAAAGTATTGTTAACTATGCTGTTTTTATAATCCAATAGCTATTAATTTACTGTAATATAAAAGTAAACTGTAAATTGGTAAAAAAGTTGTATAAAATAATATCTATTTAAAGCAGTTATTTATCTTATTTATCTGTGCAAAAAAAAAAAAGATAACGATTTTTTTTGTAAAACCCCTCCCAGAGCAAGATTGCATGTATGCCACTGCCTAGAAATATATACTTTCAACACCCTTGTCAAGTCTTCTGTGCGCCACTGCTTCATTATACCTTCTTACAGTTTTTTATTTAACAAAAGATAATTTTATTAAACTTACAAAAATAATTAGATAACTATAATTATGAGTAATATAAAATATCTCGTGTTATACCCAAAGTGAATTAGAAAAAAATAAAAAATAGAAAATGTTAAATTTGGTATTAATATTTCATGAAAAAGTAAGAAAAAAGCCATTTCCATATTATGAAATTGGTTAACTATTTACCAAGTAGCCATATAGTTTAATAAAGATGTAAATTTTAATATCTTAGTTTAATTAACTTTAAATGAGGGATATTTTTTAATGATAATAATTAATAATAATAAAATAATTATTATATTGTATTCAGAGAACAAAAACGGGTAGTCCAGAATTTTTCAAAACCATTTTCGAACAATTTAATTTTAAGATTTAAATACAAAAATAATTTTACCTCCATTTGTATATGCTGAAATAGACCAAGTAGTCAAGCTTATACTATCAGCATTTTTAAATTTCACTATAGTGTACAATTGTAAACATTTACTGGATAATGATATTGGAGTACCCAATGGCTAAAAAAATTTAAATTCATTAAATTTAAAAATGTTGAACCATTAGTTACAATTTAAAATTAAAAAAAATAAAATGAACATACTATTAAAATAGTAAGTATAGTGGAAGGTAAGAGTTCAAAAATAAATGCAGAGTATAGCCCAATATACATTGCACTTAATATTAAAACTTTGACGTTTAAATATTTATTGTAAAATAAAACAGTGCCAATGAGAATATACTGTTGAAAAAGTATTATTGGATACTCCATGTACGACATCAGTGAATAATTATTAATATAATTGTAACAAGTTGTTGTACTTAAACTGAAAAATGTATAACACACATAAAATTATTAATAAGTAAAAAATATTAATAAAGAGTAGTTCAAAATGCATCAGAAATAAATTCCCAACTAAATTAAACATAAGTTTAATTAATAGAGATCTAACAAGAAATTAAATCATATTTAAAATATTAGTAAAAGGCATTTCGAAAAATAAATATTTTTAATATAAAACTTTACTTTCATTTCATTATTAAAATTATTCAATATTCATTTCCGAAACACTAATGTGTTCAAAATTTGTAAAATTTTCAATGTAAAACAGTACCTTATGTTTTCTAGGCTGTGATTTACATTTTTAATTACTTATAAGTTATTAAATAACATAAATCTTGAAACACAAAATAAATTATTTATATTGTGGTTTAAATATTTACAAACCACTTAATTCCTTTTTCAAAGAAAAATCTTTAGCATGTAAACTAATTTGAATGATTAATCAACATTTAACTTTAATGTATAAACAATATATATATTTTTTTCATTTTGAGATATTTATAAGATAAAATTCAATTATATTTGTAAAATCAGAAAAATCGACCAGTTTTAATTATTCAAATTTGTAAATTTCATTTTTTTATGAATAGCTATTCATTTAAATGCATCCTTATTTATAAATGTATTACTATACAAGCTTATAAATTTACTTGATTACATCCAGGAGTAAAGAAGTTAAATTGATACCGCCTGTTTGCTTTTGATTGTAAATCCGAATAATTTGTGGAGCCTTCATGATTACACTCAAAATAATAGTGGTAATGCTTAATAGGTTAGATATCATTGTTTATGGATGATTGCTATTTAATATGTGTATATAAATATATATTTGGTTTTGAAACAACAATTCCTATCTGAAAATAAAACAACTCAAAATGAATAATAATACATTGACTCCATAGAATAATATTATATAATACAATGAAAATATCATATCAAAATGAAACATCTGGTAAGGTTCCAAGATACATAAATAATGTTCAACAAATTTCCTAATATAATTTTTTAATATTTTATTTTTAGGAATTTTACCCCTGAATGAAATAATTAAAATTCGTCAAATTACAATATGTATTAACAATTTAAGTTCGAGTTTTGTTCTCTGATTGATTGCGATCCTTCTTCGTGGAACGGAGAGAAGAATTATTCCTGGAAGTTGTTGATCGTCCTTTTCGTTTTCTACTCCACAGTTCATGACAATCTTGCCATGTTGGCAATGAAATACACATTTTATTATCTATGTTCATGAGCCATGAACATTTTAATGCATCTTCGGCAGTTATTCGCTTACAGGGATCAAGAGTTAACATTTTGTCCAAAAGATTTAAAGCATCACTACCAATAAATTCATATTGATCAGCAAGTTTTCGATTATGCAGTTTTTTTTGACTAATAAATTTCCAATAAGGTAATTTAATTACATCCGGCCAGTTAGCTGGGCAAGGACTACCACAGAGTTGTGATATTAACTCTAGTTGATCAAATTCATCTTTACCATGAAACATGTTTTTTTTTACAAAAAGTTCTCCTGTAATAATAAATTAAGCTTTAATTAATATAATTGTTTTGGTATATTATAAATATAACTTACCTAAAATACACCCACAAGACCAAATGTCAACAGATGGACCATATCTCTCTTCTCCAAGTAGTAGCTCCGGTGGTCTGTATCGTAAGGTAACTACTTTATTTGTATATAAACGAACTTGCTCATTATCAAATAGCCGTGCAAGTCCTAAATCAGCAAGTTTTAGTTCACCTCTATTGTTGAGTAAAATATTACTGCATTTTATATCTCTGTGTATGAAATTTTGTTTGTGACAATAATTTAAACCCTCTAGTAGTTGACGCATTATGATGGCATTATCCTTTACAGTAAAATCTACCATACCTGATTCTATTAAACCAGTTAAATCATGATCCATGTATTCAAATACAAGATAAAAGGAGCCACCACCTTTTTTGAATTCTAAAGTATCTTCTTTATCAGTAACAACTTCTCTTAAGCTAACTACATTTTTATGATTTAGTTGTCTTAAAATTTTTATTTCTCTAATTGCAGTAATTGGAAATCCTTCAGATTCATGCTCTAATCTCACTTTTTTTAGTGCCACAAAAGTATTAGTTTTTTTTTCTTTGGCTTTGTACACTTGACCATATGAACCTTCACCAATTTGGGAAACAATTTCATATAGGTTAACATTACGAAGACCAGTTCTAGTAATATTAACATCAGAGAATGATTTTGAAGAATTTAAAACAATAGGTCTTTTTAAAATAGGACTTTTTGCTCGTTGTCTAAATGTATGAATAATGTCAGTTAAAATAATATTTTTTGGAAGACAATCAGATAAAAACGAATCATGATTTTCAACTAGTGTAGTATTCTCTATGTTGTTTGGCGGTCTGATTAATGGTATTTCGCTTGGCAATGGTATATTTTCGATACCATTTTCCGTTTCCATCTGTTTTGAAAAATATATTAATGATATGACTAGTTATTCTATTTGTTAAGGTTTGATGAAGTAATATTGTCAAGGAACTATTATGATTGACGATATTGTGTCGCAGATGATATAGAATGTCTTCCATCGACTTAGAAGTAAACCAGAAACGTTGATTAACTTGAGAATACTTTATTGTAGACAATTCTACTGTTTGTCCCGTAATAAATTCCGATGGCATATCAAATATTTAAAATTCATTTGATGTGTGTAATCCTGCAAAATTGTTCACAATATTTTGTTTTGTTTGTTTAAAAAAAAAAAAAATAATAAACGCTCAGTTGAATACATAAATAATTGGCAAAGACTTGGTAAAGGAATACAAAAAATAATATAAAATAATATCTATTAAAATAGAATATATTTTACATTCAAGAATTAATTATCCAATAGCAAGTTTTTTTAAACTTTGATATAAGTTAATCAAACAACTAAAACTTTAATGTATTATTAACTACCATAACTAAGAAACTAATTTACTTAAAGTAATTTGACAAATTTTAATTAAATTGAACATTTTCATTCGTCTTGTAAATGTATTAAATAATACTTGAATAGTTGGCAATAAATATTACACTATTTTCATAAAATGGAAGTAAAAAACAATATTTAAATACTTATTAAAAAATTGAATTTATGTAAAAATAAGCAAAACAAGTAAATAATGGATTAATGTTTCAAAATTTAGTCATCAGTATCTGCATAAAAAAAAAATTTATTTGTATTGAAATAATTTTAAATTACTGAAATTTACTTTTAAAGAGTTTTTGATTTCTTTAGTGGTCAAAAACCGTAATGGTATCTACTTATTAAATTACTATTTAAGTATTAGTGGAAAAAAAAAAATATTGAAAAATAAAAAAAAGTTCATGAAGACATTGTGATGATTAAGAATATTTGCAAGGGATACTAATATTAAGTAGAAAGCAGTTCGTTCACCACGTCCAAATTATAACTTACGTCAACAAACCGATTATTAAATACCTTAGTCAATTACCAATTAATTGCTATGTACTTTTTAAAAATAGTAATTAACAGAAACTAATTATGATTTTACTTACTTGTTAGTAATGAGTTAATAATGTACGGATGCTAATGAACAGTTCTGATCGCAATTAATAAATAGAATTATGGAAAAAAACTTAATGAACGATACCTATGCGATTAGTTTAACTATATACATATGTATATATATATATATATATATATGTATATATATATATATATATATATACATAACAAAAGTTCGAGTAAAAAGTGATCTGGAAAATTCTGAAATTGATAAGAAAACTACAATTTCGTGTTATCAATCATCATGGTTTTTAAGAACTTTATACTCAACTAACCAAACCGTGGTTGCCGTAACTAAAAATCATTGCATAGCAGTATTTTATAACAAGTTACTTCTGAAGTAACGCACTACCGCTAAACTCAATAAGAAATATAAATCAACGTTAAACCTACAATGATTTTCCATAATATCATGGAAATGTATCTGTAAATTGTATCTTATTATGTTTTTTTTTTGATCATGGTTTACGTGCAACTTAAGTTAATTTACTGTATTTTAGTTTTTTCCTAAAAACATTAGTTCCGCGCTCTAAATAAGTATTTGTAGAATAAGACAGTACAGTTGAACAAAATGTTGTTGACGGAAGATAATATCGTTCGGTGTAATTGCGTTCTTTTTCGCGATCGATTCGCTGTTGGGTAAATTTTTTCGAATCCTTTGCGGACCGCACTGTCACAAATGCTAATGGCCATTGCGAAGTAATTCATATTACCTTCTTATCTAGTATCTACAACTAACGTTTCGAACGAAAACAATAAGCGTTATTACTGTTTGCTAAGTGACCGGGCTTGCGATAGAAGATAGAAGCAATATCGTTTTTTCCGAACAACGTTCGGATATTTCAATCACCTTGAAAGATGGATACGAATTCGCAGTCCAGCAGGTATGGTTTTGGCTATTATATTTTTTATTTCAACGTTTTTACTATTGTAATTGTGCATCGATTCGTCTAAAATATGAATAATTACACAATAATCATATTAGGACCCAACCATATTTTCGTTCCAATGCTAAACGATTTTGTTCAACTAAGTTGCTCAATATTAGTAAACCCAATATAGAAATATAATATCTACAATTAAATATAATTCTGGTGTGTTTGATAAAATTGTATGAAATATTAAATACCTTATTGTATTTGCTTTCATTAACTAAAATCTCTGTATTCATTTAAAATGAAATTATCATAACATCTTAAAAAAGATTTAATTTATATTTTATATTCTATAATTTCATTGGATTATATACATATTATAATAGATAAGAGTAAAATATTATTATCAATATTAAAATTAAGCTTTAAATCATATATTTACAAATTAGAAAATTTAATTCTTTTTTAAGTTGAAAATATGATTTTTTTTTTCTTTAATGAGATTTAATTAACTAGACTATTTTTCTCTTTAAAATGATTATTTTTATACCATTATTTGGATTATAAAGAGGGGAAAGGCAGTTTATACTCTTCAGTCAATCTTATACCACCCAGAGACCAAAAATGTTAAAGGCTGGATTTGAATCATCAGCTGTATATTTACATATAGTTGCCTTATCCCACATGGTCATGACACTTCCCCAATATGAATTATTATTTATTATATAAAACAGAATATTTTTATTTCATAGCCTATTTTTAAATTAAAATTAATAAAAATATATATTTAACTACAAAATAATGTATTGATGTATATTTATTATTAACACAATACATATAATCATTTAAATATTGTGACTTGCTAATATATTTTCTAACTATTTTATTCGTGTAGAGTTGTCGGTGAAGTTAAAACCCGAGAGGATAAACTGCATGCTAAAAGAATGTAAAAATAAATAATCCATTTTGCATTAAACTTTAAAATTTTATTTTTTTGTTATTAATAATATGATTTAAAACATTTTAGTAATGGTGTAAGTGATGAAGAAGATACTACATTGGATCATACATTAACAATTAAACCACCACAAGCAAGAGTGCACAAGTCAAGACATAAAGAAGCAAGTCATCATAAACATTCTAAAGTAATAATATTTTAATTTTTTATTCCGTGTTCAAAAAATATAAGATTTTTTATATTAATGCGATTTATTTTAATGTGAAGGATCCAGCAAAAAAACACCATTCTAGACATCTTGAAAAACGAAAGCATAGACATTCTCGGTAATGGTTATATTTTATAATTATTTATTTAAACAACTCTTACATAATGTTTAAATTTATTGGGCACATGAATTCTATATTTATAGTTTACAGCCATTTTTATTATTGGTTCATATGAAATGTATTGGGAAATAACCTATAGCATTATACTTTTTAAACATAAGATTATTTAATTATTATAGTATTTGATATTTATGTTTTAGGTTACAATCAGTAATGTACATTAAATTTTCTTATGTGTATATTATGTAATAATATGTATATTATAATGTACATTATATTTTCTTATATAAATTATATACATAGTTTTTATGTCAATGTAAAATGTACATTTTTATATTTTCTCAAACGAAAAATTTTTGTGTTTCTATGATTCCATCATAATTGATAAATATATTTTATACATATATAAAATTATAAAATAATTCATGAAATATCATTGAAAATACAAATAAATTTAGTTCATAAATTAGTAGCATAAAATTGTTTATTATATAATATAGTATATGGTTATTAAATTAGTACTAATAAAATCATATAATTATTTTTCATAGAGATGATGAACTTGCTTTGAGAAACAAGAGATCAAAAAAAGAAGATGATTATTATAAGGTAGATTCAAGAAATATAGATAGAAGTGAAAATGGTGAATGGGATCGTTATAAAAAAAGAAGTAGTTATAGTCATGAAAAACATTCTAAACATGAAAAACCACATAGAGATGATATGCTTAAGGTATTGTTCCATATAATTATTTAAAAAACGTATAAGTAATATTTTTGAAATTCGACCCTTCAGTGTATGTTTTCGTTGTTGACAAAAAAATAAAATTCTTAATTGAAGTTATTGTTTTCATATTTATTTATTACTTATCTATATATATATATGTGTGTGTATATTGACATTTAAAAGTAAAAGATTTTAATATTTATATGCTAATATAAATTTTATTTTTTATCATTGGATTTGGCTTTTTTTAATTAATATCATTGGCAGATCCAGGATTTTTTTCTTTTTTTTTTGGGAGGGGGGGGTGAAAATGTTTTCTCTTGGAATATTTTTTATAACATTGCAGTCAGTGATTGATAATGAAAATGATTGATTTTTAATATATATTTTTCCTGATTTAAGGGGGGTTAGTCCTTTCCATGGATCCCCCACTGATTAATATATATGTTTTTTAATTTTTAAAGGAAAATGATTTAAGAAATCTGTTACAAAAAAAAAAATTGGAAAAAGAAGAAAAGTATCGTACTACGGAGTACAAACATCATACAAAGAAAGATATAGCAGATAATGAATCTAGAGATAGCTCTCATGCAAAATTAAGAAAACGAGAAGAAGAAGAACGAGATAGCCGAAGATCTCATAGGGAAAGAGATCAATATATTGAACAATACTACAAAATGTTGGATCGACCTCGTAAGGTTTTAATTATTTAAATAGTTACTCTTACTAAACTATAACATGATATATATAATATAACTATTTAAATATTTATAAATAGGGAATTTAAAATTTATTGTAATAATTGTTATTAATCATTGTTTAAATAAATATAGATTCTTGTTAACATATAAAAAATAAAAAGGAATACATAACCACAATTTTATCTTTGTAATTTATCTAAATATTTTTACTTAAGTCTGTTCTTTCTAATTTAATTATGTAATTGGGAAATTAGCTATAACAGAAATTTGGAAGACTCTTTTTTTGTCTAGAAGAAGAACCTGATAATTTCTTTTTAAGATTCAATAAGATTTATTATTTTGGTTTATTTATATTTTTATTTAAAATCATCACTACTAAATTTTGTTATAAAAAAAAAATTCTTTAAATGTTCATTAATAAAAATCAAATATCAAACAAATTATTAGATATACATTTATAAGTTATTTTAAATGTTGTGGAGGAGGGAGAAGAGGGATTTGTTAGAATATTGATTCACTACTATGCTTATTTCATTTTTGAATAGTTTTAAATAACATAAATTTTTTATTAGCTGATTTTTATTATCAAAATAATGAATTAAAATATGTACCATTAAAAGTAAATATCTAGTTTTTAATTTTTATTTAAAAAATATAATATATTGTTTAATACCTTTTGAAATTAAATAAGTAATATACAAATCATTTTCTTAGAAATATATTATTAAATAATTAAGTGTTTGTTAAAATATCACCTTAATTATGATATATGTTAATATACTTTTTTTTTTTTTTTTATTAAATTAAGAAATGACAGTGGAACAAGGTAGATTTATATTTTTGACTTTTACACTTATATCTATTTAATTATACAATTCAATGTAGAGTTTTTTATTTTGTTTATTATAATGGCATGAAGTGGGTCCCTACATTACCTTTCAAGTTAGATATTTATTTATTGTATTATGATGTGTAGCCTAGAAGTATGCAATATAAATTTTAAATTTAGATGCTATAAAATGTATTTAAAATGCAATTAAATTAACATAAAGTTAAAAAATAAATTAATATTAGAAATCAATATATATTAACTAAAGTTAGATGACTTGCATAATTAATACATTTTTATAGCTTTGTGTATATTTATTGGATTTTATTTAAATGTTTTACATTTATTATAATTGTTAAAACTTATAAAATGCATAAAAAAAATCAAAAAAAAAAATCATAGTTTGTTTATTTGTATAATGTCTTAGAATCTTTATTTCCTAGCTTTGACTAAATCCAACAATTCATTAAATAGTTATAATGTTTATTTAGTTTTTAAAATAACATGATTTTAAGAGCCATTTTGTTTTAGGACCCGATATGGTTCCTGATTTGGTCGTATTATCAAATGATTCATCTTCATCTGATTCAGAACATGAAAATGAACCTCTAGAAGAAGAAAATAACAAAATTAAGACTGAAGAAAACTCATTAACTCCACCAATTGATCAAAATAAATCTGAAGGCGAAGCATCTGAAGAATCTGGACAAGATTCTGGTGATGACACTGATAGTTCTGGTTCAACATCCTCATCTTCAAAAAGTTCACAATCCAGTGGTATAAATTTTTATATATAACTAGTATGATACAAGTTAGAGATTTTATATATGGTTAATTTTTTTGAATTTTGGATTTATTTAAAAGTTATATAATTTTTATAACTAAAAAACAAATTTATTTATAAAATTATTTAGATTGACTAGTTTTTTGTTACTCAATAGAATCTTTATATACATATTTATACTAGTTACTTTATTTTAAATTAATTTTAAGCTTAACTTTTTATTATTAATTTTAAGTGTTAACTATACCTCAATATTCTATTCATAAAAACACATAATTTTTTAAAAAAAAATATTTGAATTTTAGAGTTTATACAGCCAGATAAGAAAAAAAACCAATTTTATTTATTTTTGATTTTGTATTGACTTAATTTATACAATAATAATAAAATATGTTCATATTTATTTTTTAGAAAAATCTGATGATAAATCCAGTAGCAGTAACTCTATTAAAGAAGAATCAAAATCACCAGAAGTAGATACTGAAATTCAAATGGACATAACATTAGAAAAAAATTCATCTCCTCCATTGCTACCTAAAGAGTATCTACCAGCATTACAAGGATGTCGAAGTGTTGAAGAATTTCAGTGCTTAAATAGGTTTTTACCAATAACTTATTTGTAAAAGTCATGAACATTATTTCAAATACTTAAATTGTTTACAATTTTTTAGAATTGAAGAAGGAACATATGGTGTGGTTTACCGAGCCAAAGAAAAGCAAACTGATGAAATCGTGGCTTTGAAACGATTGAAAATGGAAAAAGAAAAAGAAGGATTCCCTATTACGTCATTGAGAGAAATAAGCACTCTTTTAAAATCTCAGCATCCCAATATTGTAACAGTAAGAGAAATTGTTGTTGGTAGTAATATGGATAAAATATTTATAGTTATGGATTATGTTGAACATGATATGAAATCACTAATGGAAACAATGAGGCAAAAAAAGCAATCATTTACAGCTGGTAAGATATTATATAGTCTTGGCATTAATAAAAATTAGAAAAATGTATAGTTTTTTTTTTTTTTTTTTTTATAGCTGAAGTAAAATGTTTAATGCAACAACTTCTTATGGCTGTAGATCATTTACATGACAATTGGATCTTACATAGAGATTTAAAGACATCCAATTTACTTTTGAGTCATAAAGGTGTTTTAAAGGTTGGTGATTTTGGTTTAGCACGGGAATATGGTTCTCCATTAAAAGCTTATACACCAGTCGTTGTAACATTGTGGTATCGTTCACCAGAACTTTTATTAGGTGCTAAGGTTAGTAGAATAGCAATTATTAAAGTCAGTTTTATGTATTATAATTAAATATTATAAATTATTATAAATTAAATATTTATGATGGATTATATTCTTTTTTTTTTAAAATTTAAAAAAAATATTAATTTGTAAAATTTATATTCTAGGAATATTCTACACCAATTGATATTTGGTCTGTAGGATGCATATTTGCCGAATTTCTTTTGATGGAACCATTATTCACAGGCAAATCTGAGTATGATCAGTTGAAAAAAATTTTTACTACATTTGGTACACCAAATGAAAAAATCTGGCCAGGATATTCAAATTTGGCATTAGTAACTAAAGCATCATTGCCTGATTGTCCTCCAGCTAATTTTAAAGGAAGGTTTACTAAAGAAGGTCTTTTAACAGACATTGGCTATGAACTACTTAGGAAGTGAGTTAGTTTTTGAGCTATATTTTAATTTTTTTAATTATTTTTTTTTTTTTTTACGTGTTAGAATGCTTACATACAATCCAAGTACACGTGTCACAGCTGAAGATGCTCTTAAACATAAATACTTCTCTGAATTACCATTAGCTATAGATCCGGCAATGTTTCCTACGTGGCCAGCCAAGAGTGAAGGTGGTACAAGAAAAGCAGCTGCTAGCCCAAAACCACCATCTGGTGGTAGAGATTACAAGCAGCTTAAGGAAGATGAAGGATTTCATATTGGTAATAATTTGCCTAGAGCTCCTACGGTACCAGCGTTTAGTCTTAAATTTTAATGTTACTTTTGTAAATTATTTAATTGTTTAACATTGTCAAAAGTATATCTGTTTAACATGTATACAATTTATTTTTATCATTATTCATAACTTTATTTTCTTAAAAATTAAAGTTATTAGTTTTAGAAATTAATTTTAAAATATTATGTTTTTAATAAATATTAAAATGTTTATTATTTTGACATTATATGATACTTATTAATTTGTAAATATATTTGTATTTTTTATAAACTGTGGATCAAAAACCACAGAATATTATATATATATATTATGTAATAAAAAAAGCTTGTGAATAAGATTATATTGACATTTTTTTAAGTCAATTTGAATATGTAATATAATAATTATTTCTCCTTCACATGCACTCAACTATTTGAGATTAGTTACTTAAATCTTTCACTTCCAAATGTTTTAATCTTTTACAAAAATTTAATGTGTGGGGAGGTTTAAACAGAGATAATCTCCATTGAATTATTAATGCTATCACTTAAATCAGCATTCGCTATTGTGGAAAATGAAGCGGAAAAGTGTATTTCGTACACCCCTAAATCATGTTTTTCACATCAATTCAGGTGCCCATCAGGAAAACATTTTATTTGCTCCTCTGAGACTTCAATTAACAATAAATATCATTATGCAATAATTGCATAATATGCAATATATGACGAGCCCGTTTCAAGTAAGATACAAATGAAATGCTATTGGGAATCTAAGCTTTTATTAAAGGAAGAAAGAAGGATTGGTATTGACAATGTGCATTAGACGGATGATTGGAGAGTTAAAATAGTAGTTTGAGGAAGGTAAATAGAATTTGGAAGGGGACAGTTAATCTGTAATATAATTTTTTAAATTTTTTTTTCAGTTCTATACAGTATTTTATGAATTATAAATTATTATGTTATTTTAGTAATATTTGTACCAAGAAACATTTTTTAATTAAACATGTATTTCGAATCATTTTATTCTAGTTTGTTACATAATTATAATACTAATATAATAATATTATAAATATCGAGTAGATTTTACTAAAAAAAAAAAAAATATAATTAATTCTCAAATAAAATAAAATTCAGAAATGTATACATATTTAGAAAAATATAAATTTGGCAACATAGCGTACAGGAACATTCACAATCGTTCGTTTTTTGGCTAAAAAAAAATTCTTTGATAAGCAACAGTCGTTCGCAATCGTGTTGTAAAAAAGGTATAACGTTCGAAATCGTTCGCTACCCTTACGTTTTGATACGACCGACACGTGTGACGGCACAAGGTGCCAAATTCAGAACGGTGCGTGAGAGACGTCAAAATTAGATTATCTACTATATTTATAAAAAAAAAAAACAATTCTGTGCAGGCACAGGTCATAGAAGTGAAACTTCCGCGATAACAGTCGTGGTGGTATCAAACTATTAATGTACAATTTGTGGTACTACTTGTTTATTATTGAGGAAAGCTTCATCAGCGGTTATTTCGTACATACGATAAATTGAAGATGGTAAAAGATAAAGCAGCCAAGCTTTTATTGTACTTTTATTGACTATTCCGTGTAGATAGCTTGTTTGATGAATTTTTCTGCGTTTTATATGTACATTTATGCAGTGGTCATCATCGATGTATCGTGGAAGATTTTTAATCATAGTGTTCACACTAACATACTATTTTCAAAGTTATTTTATCAAAAATAAGGTAGTTATACTATATGGAGCGTATACCGAGTTTCAAAATCTTACTATGCTCGGGATATCAATGCACCTTTATTAAGCCGCTCAGACTTCAAACACCACGCTCCAATCATAGTTATAGATATGGGCAGATAAAATGATAATTTAAAAACATCTACCGTTGACCTGAGAATCGAGTTCGAAGCAGAAGAGGCGTTTCCAGAATCAACATCAGCATACTGCTTAATATTACACGATCAAATTATAACTTATAACCCCTTTAACGGGGAAGTAAGAACATTGTAAAATATTTGTATATAATTTTTTTTTTTTGTAAATTAATGGAAAATGTTTTTAAGAATATAAGTCTGTTTTTATTTCATACATCAAATAGTTATATAAAGGTTTAAATCATAATTAAGTTATGTATACATATAACAGTTTTTATGTATTTTACAAATAAATAAATAGATATGTATATGTTTAAATAAGAATTAGACAAAAGTCTAATATATTAAATAATAAAAATAGTTATGTACATGTTTGAATTATTTGAAAATATCTTCGATTATTTGATCTATCCCCCTTTTACATGACGGTGGGCTTGACCTCCTCTGCTTTACTGAATATGGTTGTGGATCGAAATACGTGGAACCGTCGTTTTGATCGATTGCCTGTATATTTATCCGTCTTGACATCAATGCGCAGCTCGGTTGAGAAATCGGTGGTGACATCGGTGAGTAGCTCGGTGGAGATATCGGTGAGTAATTCGATGGATATAGCTCTATAACTGTTAGAACTACATCTTCCTGATCGCATACCTTCATTTTAATCAAACACTGCTCGGCTATCTGTTTAGTTGCATATAGCTTGAGCTGACTCACGAAGTTTGATGAAGTCTTAGGGATATGATTTGAAATCGTATCATCATCGATATTTCTGATAGTAGTAATCATATCTTCAACACATTATCCTCGATTAAAAATGTTTTTAAAGTAATCACATATTTGATCAAACTGCTGCAATATCAAAGATTGTATGAATGACGATTTGTGTACAATACTCTCGAATATACACCATTCCAAATAATGTAATGTTCAGTAAGTCTAATGTCGCCATGAGCAAGTTCGCATTTAGTGGAATTAAACAGACATTTTTACCCTTGTTACGGCCCGTGTTCAGGAAGCCTAATGTCGCCATGAGCAAGTTCGACAGGATGCCCTTGCCCTACGACGCATTGGAAAAACGCATTCAAATATTCGATAAGAGGTACGTTAATGATGTGTTCGTTGTTTTTACACTTTTGTAAAATAACTATTCTTAAAGATCACTGATTTTTTCCACAAAAAAAATATTGTGACGTTTCAATTGTTATTTTTATACAACCCAACCTCACATAACATCCGTTGAGTGAATATAATTTTTTACTTTCACCAATATTATTATTACAAAACAAAATTAAAAATAATACAAGTATAAATGTGAATTTCATACTGACGTTTATTACTACTGAAGCAAGTAATGATGGTTCATTGAGTCTTAAAATCATGAATCAGTAATAAAATTAGGAATTAAGATGTACCAATCTATTGCAGTACTACTGAAGTGTACATTCAATACAGGATAAGTTTACTGGTACTGGGTTGTGGATTGTCTAGATTCACTGTTGGCAATTCACGTGATCCAGAGAAATTCCTCATTGCTTTAATCTCTTCGATAGTGGCGACAGCATTTCTTAAAGTCTTCTGTCGAGCCGAATGTTTTCGACTGCGTTGTGCTATTGTTTGCGGTAGCGGTTTTTGTTGGGTCAATAATTTTTTCCGAGCTCTACATTTTCGGTGAAAATATAAAGATTTAAATAATGAAGTATATGACTTTAAAAACCGCCAGTGCTAAATATGGAGTTGGATTTTAGCATCCTGGATCAGGAATTATCCATCAAGTAAAAATAAGATATTAACAATTCTATTATAACATATTATGATATTTAACAGTTGTACTTCCAATAGATTTATTAAAATAAAAATATAATCATATTTTATTTAGATTGTTCTTGAAAATTATGATTTCCCTGATTTGTTAATGATTGGTACTGACTCCCACACACCGAATGGTGGTGGTCTTGGTGGTTGTGTATTGGAGTCGGTGGCGCAGATGCTGTCGACGTCATGGCCGACATATCATGGGAATTAAAATGCCCAAAAGTAATTATGAACTAATAAATTTAATATTTTTTTGGTTTAATTATTTATTTACCCATTGGTGGTTCTTCAGATAACTGTATAGGATGAAATTAATAACATTTTTATTTATAATCGTATATTTATTTAGGTTATTGGTGTTCATTTGTCTGGCAAAATGACGGGCTGGACTACACCAAAAGATGTTATTTTAAAAGTTGCAGGTATTTTAACGGTTTCTGGTGGCACTGGTGCTATTATTGAGTATCATGGACCTGGAATAGATTATATTTCATGCACAGGTAAATATATTGATAGTCGTAAATTATAAATATAATTTTTAATAATTGAAGCGCTCGGCCGAACAACGGGACAAGCGCCAATCTCGGCAATATTACGTTTATCGATGGAGTATCGGGGCACGAGTACAATTTATTGTATATGTTCACTACCGCATTGAAATTACAATAAAAATAGATTAAAAGGCAATAATAAGCAATAATAAGTTTAGTTTTAAGTCGTGGAAATGGTCCGTAATATTTTAAACGCCTCCATTGTAAAATGCGCTCAGTGGCACTTGTCCCGTTGTTCGGCCGAGCGCTTCAATTGTTAATATTATTTGTATAGGTATGGGTACTATATGTAATATGGGAGCTGAAATTGGTGCAACAACATCATTGTTCCCATTCAATCACCGTATGGCTGATTATTTGAAAGCTACCTCACGTGCTGACAGTGGCGTAGCCGGGGGTTTGCGGGGGTTTTTTGGGGGGGGGGGCTGATCAATTTTTTACACAGCGGTGGTTTAGTAATATACAATAAATTATTTTACCTGTATTATTTATTAAAAAAAAAAAAAACAATAAAAATAGTAATCAATTTTCTTTTCAATTTTACATTTTTTTTACAATTTAGTATACTAACATTTTATATAATAAAACAAACTCGAATTTAATAAACATGAATATAATGTGATGAATAAAAATAAATTAACAATATTTATTTACAAACAATTAAAGTGACAATTTTAACCTTCGAGCCTTTCCACTGTTAGCAAATTTGTCCAATAATTTGATCATCTGAAATGTCAATATCTCTATGAATGGATAGTAGTGCGAGTCCGACAAGTCTTGACTCTGTAGTTGAATTTCTAAGGTAAGTTTTTAATCTTCTCAAAGAAGAAAAACTCCTTTCTGCAGTAGCAGTCGATACAGGTAGTACTGATATTAACTTTAGGA